GGGAAACGATCCGCAGGCACGACTCTGTGCACATCCAGACCCTTGGAAAGAAGCTCCCACAACTTCTCGTGACTGGCAGCGTCGGGGAAACGACCGGCCATACCAACGATGGCCAACTTGCACTTTCCGCTGGAGCCGTGGTTACCGATGGGAGAGTTGTAGCTCTCTCTCTGGATTCTAGGTCCAGGGCGGACGATAACATCCAACTGTGTCTTGTCCTTGATCAACTTGGAAAGAGTCTCGGCGTTGTGTGTGGGGCCGAAGGGGATAACGAGGCAAGTTGTTCCCTCAAAGTCGCGAGCAGTCTCAATACATCCCTCAATACCCTTCTGGAATTGAAGAACATCAATGAGACACTCATGTGTGACGGCCTTGATGAGAGACTTGGTGTCGGTCTCAGCAAACCAGATGCCCTTGGTGCCTGACATGATGGCAGAGCGAGGCTTCGTCTTAGCCAAAATCTCAACGACCTTGGGGTCGTTGAGGCGCAAGATCTTCTCGATATCGGCGGTACCGTGAAGGTGTGATGCGTGGTAGGGTCCGTAGACGGGAATAGCCGTCGGCTTGACACCGAAGACGTTCTGGTCCTCAAGGGCCTTGAGGGTGGCCGGCGGTCCTGAGATCGCCAGACTTGATGCCGACACAGCGCTAACGTATGCTTGGCTGGCGACGGGGATGTACTGTGAAAGAGTTAGAGACCGATGATGAGACATATCACGTCAATAGTGATGCTTACATTAGATTCATGGAAATTAGTAAGTGCCTCTTTGGCTTCGGTTTCCTTCAGGCCAGGAAGGATGTGTGTCCAGGGTTCAGATTGACCGACCGGCGGGCTAAGCCTCTCAGCCAACGAGCCGACGTGAGTGCCGGTTCGGAAGGCCATGAGGACTACCTGAACGGCAAGGGGTATCAAGGTAGAGACTGAAGGGGTCGAGGCGATAGCAGCGGCGGCGAAAAGCCCCGTGCAAAGACCCATGAAGAAAGTGTGTTCGTGAACAGAAACATCTTGCGGCTCCTTTTCGTGGCGGCTACACACTTGTTAGTGAAAATGGCATCAAATAACTTCGGCTAGTGATTCAGGCAACGTACTCAATGTAGTGAGCCAACTGGGTGATACACAGCAGGGCACTGTCGATACCGGGGTGCTTGATGCTCTGGGCGTGGTAACGCTCGTTGAGTTGGCGGAGCGATAGGAACGTGGGGAGCTTCGACCGTTCCAACTTCCCCAAACCATCGATCTCCTCCCTCAAAGCCTGGCCAGCCTGGTCGAGGAACGTCTTCGCAAGGGTGCTCGGATTCCCTGAACGGCAGAACTCGGCGAGAAATCCATGGGTATCAAGTGACTGATCTCCGAAGAGGAGATAAGACATCATGTCGGCCATCTTGAAGGGTTGTCGACATAGATTTCCTAGGGTGATGAGGTTCCGATGGTCTGGAAAGAAGAGTATGTCTGGATTCCGGGAGAGTCTCTTGAACTTATATGACTGAGATGTGCTCGAGACAGGACGGGCAACGGGTGTGCACACCATCCAACAACAGACCACCTCCCGAGTTACTCAACCCAGCTGTCAATGTCATGGCTGATGGATAGCGGTATCAATCGCAACATGCAACACATGCTGGTAAGAGAGGGAGTGAGGTGAAAGGGGAGGGGTGCGTGAACAGAATCCATCCCAAGTATCCGCACGCCCCCGTGCACCCCCTTCCCTTCGTTCGTACTAGGGCCCATCCTTTTCTCGCCCGGGTGGCTAGCGTCAGTCCGGCCCTGAGCATCCTCGGTCACCGAAGTTCATGGATGATTTTCAGTGTCTTGCCGCATCGGTCGAGATCCATTGGTTCAGGGCAAGCGATCGAGGCCGCCACACGGGCTTCCCTACTCCAATTCATCTATGCTGAGTGAACGGGCAGCCGGACAGATAGAGGAAGGACCACAATGGGTCGCAGCGCGGCAACTCGAGCGGAAGCAAGGTAGAGTGGAAGTTGGTTCACGCATTTTGCCAATGTTTCTCACTCTCAAGAGTCCACACGCCCAGACCGGGGCCGTCGAGCGAGGGATAGAGGATGTACCAGCTCGTGTACATCGTTTACTCGTGTATCGGGCTTCCTGGACGGCACGTATCTCGAGTTGGAAGTAAGCAGTAGTAAGTTTCCCTGTCGGTGGGGCTTGTCAAGCACACCTTGGCCAGACATGACGTGATGACACCAGGAGTGTTGCCTGGTCTACCTGTTTACGAGCCACAAAATACAATAGCGTCCTGCCGTATAGGGTAGGCAGGTAGCGCAGGGCTGTACGATAGCAGAGTCGTGAGCTACCTTACGGGACGAGTTTCGAGCAAGCTCGCATGGCAGGCGAAGGAAAACGAGTTTCGATCTCGGAAGCGTTAACAGCAAGAAAAAGATCGAAAGTGGTGAAACGGGTTTGAGAAGAGGACGGTCCGTTAAGGGTAAGCACCAAGATTGCCTCGTTAGGTGTAATCGAGAGTGCTGGAAAGGCGTCAACCTGGGAGCAGGGCTGGCATCAGAGGGACATCGAGACCGGACCACGTCGAGCCTGCACCAGAAGCCATGAGGAGAGTACTGAAGAAGGTAAGCAGAGCAACAATGCGAAACATGGCCACGCAGGGCAGCAGCGTACGGCACCATGGTAGAAACGGTCTGGTGAAACTGTGCAATACGAGCCAGGCCGGGGGACGCAGACTGGGCCTCACACAGCTCGCAATGCGGCTTCCCCACATGGAGTTGAACGGCGTGTCAGGCAATTCGGCGGGTGGCAGGCCTGTCGAATTCCTAGAGAATAGCTCGGATGGAGAGCGAGTAAACAGGGTAAATGGGCACTGGCTAGGTCGATTGCGGGATGCGGGATGCGGACTGTGAGCGATTGTGGTCGTGGTTGTGGGGGTGGGCGCTGGGTCGACGCTTTGTCCGACGGACATCCCCATGGACATTGCCAAAGCGAGATGAACCCAGAGATAGAAACCAAACCGACACACCCCACGCCCCCTCCTTTTGGGGGGCTTCAGAACCAATGGATGATCATGATTTTTGCATCTAAAAGAGAAAAGGCGAAGGATTTGAATGGTAATGGTTGCTGATGTATCGGATGTTGATAGAATGCATATCGACGTTTGGTGATCTATCGCGAGCCCTGGCTGATGGATGTCTAGTTCGAGATGACAGAAGAGGCTGACGGGCTGGAAGAAGGATGCGAGACGTTGCTGGGTGAAGTTCGGAGAAAAAGATACAGCAGCCCTGCCCTGGCTGACGTCGTCGGACTTGACGGTGGTGGGGAGGGAGGACGGCGGCGGACGGGATGCGGGCAAGTGGTGGGCTGCGGCTTGCGGCTCTCGAGCAAGTTGGACGACGCCCACCGCACTCCATGCTCCTTCCCCAATGCACCTTTGATTGAGCCTTCCATCCATAAGGTACGTGTAGAAAAAGGTACGTTCCTGATTCAGGTACGTACCCAGCCCGGATAGGTAAGCAAAGATGGATCGCTTCCTTCTCTCCTTGTCCACTGCTGCCCCTTTTGGTGCAAGAGTGGGGTCTCGGGCCCCGGCAAGTAAATGGGCAAGGGGGAAGAGTACCACTTTTCGATCTCACCTCAACTCGCCCCACGTCCGGTAGGGCCAACAAGTACGTATCGATCAAAGTGGGCACAAGTTGCAAAGTGAGGGTGTTGTCGTCAAACGTCTTCCCTTTTCTGCCCACGCACCTTAACACCGCCCGGCCTTCCTACCAGATCCTACTAATCCGCCCAGTGCTATTCCCGTCCACCTCATCACGCTCATGTCAGAACAGGAAAGGAACGTACCTCCACTTCACCTGAGAACTGCGGTGCCTAGGATAGCTGTCTCTTGACTTACCTACCTCAGCAGGAAAGTGGATATTCTCGATACCTACCAATCCCGTCCGAGTACACCCATATCCCTATTCGCAGTGGGTATGCAGGTTACAGCGCCCGGTACCAAGAAAGGTATCGTCATGGGAAGCTTGTTTCTCCATTCTTTAGCTGCATCAGGGAAAGCATAGACTGTCCAGCCGGTCTTTATCCAGGGAAACGGCCACAGATACTGGACTGTACCGCTCGCAAAAGCAACGAGGCCAATGCAGGTACCCAGACACAAGTCCACTGACCTCCCATGGCCAGGTCATCCCTCGCCTCTCGATGATGCTCAGTCAGCAATACGTTCCGCAGTACACAGCCAAAGTACCTTTGGGAGTACCTTACTTCGTACCTAGGGACTTCGGATACAGCCCATGGGATTGAAGGTGGAAGGCAAAAGTGTGCGGACGGTGCGGTGCGGGCCATGAATGTTCCGGGAAGACCCCTTTTCCGCCGTCGCCAGGTCCAAGTGTATCGTTCTTCCCTTCCAATTCGTGGACCTGGTTCCGGTACGTACACGGCCACCTGGCGAACCTTGGTCAAGGCAGGCGTGGCACTCGTGGCCTGTCTCTCGGGGCTCGCATCCCCTTCCGCAGCCTTGCCTCTTCCAGTAAGGCGTCGAGGCAAGGGGTTCCGTTTGGCTTCGTTTCTCCTTACGCTTATTCCTATTCTCTGGAGCCGGTTCAGAGCCTCGACCTCTTTCTAGTGAGAGGGGACTGCAGATCATCTCCTCGACTCCATCTGCCAGGTCCCTTGCCACGCCGTGCCATGGACCGCCTCTCGAGTTAAATCTCCACTACCTTACCGGATGCCGTGCTTCGACCTCGACTGTCGAACAGGCCATTTTCTATTGTGGGCATGGTCGACTTCCACCGTTCCACCGGAAACACGCGCGCGCGCGCGCTCGCTGCACCTAATTACACCACTACCCCAATGCACCGTAAGCCCCGGCAAGAGCTCTCGCGGAGCCTCTTGCAGAAGCACAAGCGCGGCGACGGCGGCGGCAGGAACAGGAACGCGCTCTAGAGTTTGAACAGACGTTCCCGCTCGCGCCACTCCAGTCGCTTCGTCTCTACTCTGTACCCTATGTGTCTGTATTCCAAACAATCGATCACCAAACAAAAGCACCGCTGGCAAAACAGCCTGCGTCAGCACGGTGCCGCACGTTCCAGAGATATCACTTTCGTCCGATACATGGCACATGCCGTTTGGAAACACTCGGATGGCAAAGACGGACAGTGATAGAGCAGACCGACGCACTCGCACGCATCAACGCACTCGCTCCATACCTCACCTTACTTTCCTCTGTCTTGGGCCCTTTGCTCAGCTGCACTGGAATTCAGATGCTTCTTTCACAAGCACCTTAATCGACTCTCCCGGCTCTCAGCACCGACACATTGCTTCCTTTTTCCAGAATAAACTGGAAGCCACAAGTGGTATCCGAATCAACGGTCCGACGGACAACGGTCAAACCAAATTCGTTCATGCCTTTCATCGTACATGTTTGCTCAGGCTCCGGCCTAGGCGACTTACACGCATCCTAGGCAATACCAGGCTGACGAGCAGAACGACAACCGCAACGCAATGGCAGATTGCCACAAAATGCGAAGTACGGTATACGGTGCTGCACTGCATGGCTCAGCATAAGACAATGTTCTATTTGACATGGAATCCCAAATTCGCTCTCGCTACGTTATCTTCCTCAATTCAAAGTTTGCAGGCTTTGAGATGGGCCGGTACTTGCAACTGCTCATTGCCTGCCTCACAAGGCAATGTTTCCCCGCCTGCCTCTTCAGGCTGACTCTGACAAGCTTCAGTTTCCAGAATACCGCACTTCCCTGCTGTCTTGACTTGCCAACTCCAACATATCCGCGGTGAGAGGGGCGAGGGGCGTGGGCCTTAGCCACCCTGGTTGAGGGAAAGGGCGTGGTCTTAGTCGGCCCGTACGCAATATCCCTCGCAAAGACGTTCAACGCGATATGTGGAATGCATGCCTTGTCTGGTTTGCATCCCAATATCTGACGCCTGCCTCTGTCCCGCCGCAGTGGACAGCGGGGCAAACGAAAGACACTCTTGGATGCGGCGTCTCGGAGCAGGTTGTGTCCCAGCCGCGGTCAGTCAGTATGCTGGTGCACCGTCCATATCGTGCTACTGCCAGATAAGCGGTTTGATACGGACGAGATACGTCTAGTCGGCGCATCGCTCACCTGAAAGTCGGCCGTCTTGAGCAGTGTGGACGGACGGGCTTGGTGGCGCACAGCCAAGCTCACTCGGGCTACCGCGTTAAGCCTCTTCAGGCCATCCAGATTCAACGGTGGTCGGCGCCTCATGGTCGACGAATGCCATGTTCGACTGATATCTGAGGCAATAGTGGTGTTCTGCAGAAGCCCGTATTTGAGACGGATCTCGACGACGTTCTGCCAGGAAACGCTATCTGCGAAGATCCTCATGTAGCTGAGGGATGATGATCCGACGCCTGAGCGACAGTCTTATATTGTGCAGACGGAGCAATGGGCGGACACCGAATGCCCGAGTCTCGAAATCATCCATATTGACGGCAAGCCAGAAATGAATGATTTGCAGATGCAGCATCAACAAGCAGGATTGTATGCACGCGAGAAACAAGCCAACCTCGTCGTTCTTTTCCTGGTATTGATTGCGACGATGGACGGGCCGCCACGGAACATCATTTTTCGATTAGCATTGCAAGTGCTGTCTTGGACTGCCATGCCCTCGGGATCCCACATCGCACGGCATAGGATGACCTTCGTGGTGTTTTCCACTGGGTGCGAGCCGTCGTCTCGCATGTCTACGGACAAGGTGAAAAAAAAAAAAAAAAAAAAAAAAAAGAGATGAAAAAAAAATGAAAAACAAAAAGAAGGACGAGAATGGAGATGTGGTGGGATGCTCTAGCGGATGTCAAGTCGCAGGTGAACCAATCACAAAATCGCCGGTGAGTCCGCGCAGCCCAAATGGCTCCTGAATGGAAGTTCTGATCACTAACCCCCCGTAACTGACCACAGGCTCTTAGGTGCCTTTCGCCTTTCTATCGAGGTGCCCGAATGCAAATCCTCCACTAGGACCACTGCTTCACCACCAAAAGTTAGCGGCCAGCATTGTCCGAGGGCGGCCCGCTGTCTCTACTATCCCCGTTGCCCCCGGCGACAAGGGTTTTGTTTCTTCTTCATGGAGCAGTACGGAGTACAGAGTACGGATACACTAGTAGCAAACTATGGATACTGGTACACTACTTACTTTTGTGGCTGTTATCGACTCACGGCGCCTAAGATACCTTACGCTGTACGAGCCAAGGGCACTGTCGCATCCTCCCGTCGCCCAAAACCCAAAATACGGACAGAAGGAGGGGAGGAAGAAATGGCAGGGGAGGACTCACCAAGCCCAGGCTCTCGGAGACAAGGACAATCCTTTCCCGGCAGGCGCTCACTTCCACTGGACGCGTTTACTCACCTTGTCTAACAACTCGTCTCACCTCATCGGGACTGAGCCTCCTCATCTCGAAATCACTCACCCACTTTAGCTTCACTTGACGAAGTCGGACAGGCGGGGGTCGAATCCTGTCATCGCTGCACATCACCAGTTTCCACGCCCCAGTTCACGCCCTTCCCCTTTTCCATCTCGCACTTTTCCTTTGGGGGAACAGCTTACCTTGCCTGACATGGCCTTAGCTTGCGATGCTTGTCTCCGTGCCTAGCGGCATGCTGATCCCCAACGGTCTCCCTTCCCAATAGAAGAAAAGGAAACAAAACGCGACTAATCACTAGCAGAAGACAAACGGGCATCGTAAATCCTATCCGTAGTCCCTCACGGAAATAGATCTGATGGCTTGGCTACCAAGACCCACGAGAGGATGTATTCTCTGCCCAGTGCCGGAGTAAAATCCATCATTACTCAATTCCGAAAGCAATCTGCATCCGGCCAGGTGATGGCCTGGTTTACCGCAAGACGCTACACATCTGTCCAGAGAGCAACAGGTCGGAATCGGCGCCGCAGCCTGTCGTATCATGTCGATTCTATCCCTCCAGCCAGCCTCTTGGAGCTATGCATGAGCCCAACAGCAATGGTGTTGGTCGATCGCGTTTACCACAAAAAGGCTTATTGCCTTGGTCGAACGCCCTCTCTGTGCCACCTCGCATCTCTCCCGAGTCCCAGAGTATGGATGGCGGTGTGTGAGACACATCAACGTCATCTCTACCTCGACCGGGAAGCTCTGCAACAAGGTGCCGCCATGAGCCACGGCCTTGGGTCTCCCGCCAATAAAATGTCATCTGTCTCCGCGCATCCGGACTCCATTGTTGGCCAGCAGTGCCCAAACGGTCCAGGTGGAACACTACGCGACTCTACTTCGTCTCCAAGTCCGAGTACGGCAGCCCAAACGACTATTTCTGCTTGAAGTACCGACGTTCCGGTCTGGAATGCTCCTCAACGCCGAATCTGGTCCAAGATGGTGCTGCCGTGCCGGAATCCAAGTGCAGCTTTGCGCCGGCTTCCACGGCGACCGCTGCAAGCTTTGCCTACATCAAACAATCGACAATGGGCCCATGATTTTGCAGCCGCCCGCCCGTCCGACTTATCTTGGTGGGCCTAGGAAACGCACAAGTTTACCTGACGCTCCGGCCGGTGTTCATGGCGGGGTGGAGGAATGAAGGGCAGTCCAAAAAGCCCGCTCACAAATCGAGTGCGGCTGTGCCATCGGACGTCCGACCACGCCTGCATGGCGTGCCTTGCTTCGTCCCTCTAGCGCGTCTAACCTCGACGGGGGTTCTTGCCAATTTACTCGCTGTTTTGATTGCAGAACTACTGCAATTTTGCAAATTTGTAGTGGTGATGCTGATAAACCACGCCTGGCTGACCCGGTGCTGCTCCCTTGAACTACCGAAGCCTGCATATCATAGGAATCATTAACCAGGTACATACGACCATGCCAGACTCTAGCTGACGATTCGGACCTGCCAGGCCGTGAATCTCTCCGTCGTATTTCAATAAACGATGACGATTCTGTATTACCATAAACACCTTACTCGACAGGGCGCTCTCTGTCTGAAGATCTTCCATGCTAGAGGGGTGCCCCTAAGGCACTTTGAGGTCATCGCCATTCACTTCTCTTGTTAACCGACTAATGGTTTTGGCAGGGAGTAAGGTCGTTTCCACCACCAACCGCTTTCCTTCTGAAATATCGTAGTACTAGATATTCATCGATACGGTGGACACTCTTCTGTCCTACATGCACACTCCCATCCGCAGCACCGATCATTTTCCAGAACGTCCCCCCCCCCCCCTCCGCCAAGTGTCTTCTCCACGGTCGCTCGGCCACTCTGCAAGCCTATGGCCCGGACGTGCTCCCGGTCTAGTCGAGACAACCTCCTCGTAATCCTCTCGGGGGAACACCTCAGTCCTGCGATCGAATCCTTCCGAGGCTAGCGTTCCTCTCGAAATAGAAGCCCCTGGAACTCGTTGTACGCGAACAAGCTCGGACTCGGCCAAGCTTTGGACCTACTCTGTCTTTGCTGTGGCAGCGCATACCAGTGTTTGTAAGCGGCTCCCAGTAAGTAGATGTCGAGAGAAAGGGAGACTTTTGTTGACGACGGGTTCTAGTAATTAGGCACTGACACTAGGTGCTGCATTCTTCGGGAAATTTCATTAACTTCAAATGTGTTTCTAGGCTCGAACTGGCTTGCCTGGAAAGTGAAGTCGCAGATGACCTATTCGATTTTATTCCAATAGGATACAAATATTTGGTCTTTCTCATGGTCCCACAGACATTTTGGAACATGGACTCTTGGTCCAGGACTGTTTTCCTGAAAGCAGTAGGCTGGCGGTATAGGGCAACCTCAACTACTCTCATCTCTTCCTGCCCAATCACTTGAAACTACGGGTTTCCAGCTTCTTGCTTACAATGACATCAGACAATCAGGCCATCTTTGTTGCCAAAGTCACAGGCTACACTTTTGGCGAAGCAACTTGATAACAGCCCAAGCCGGCGCCTTACCCGAGAGGCCAAATCTGTGGCCTTCGGGGCTTTCCTCTCGTATGTCAACCGATCGATCCGAGTGGATTGATACACGAAGATGATAGACATGGCTGCATATTCCTTCTGTTCTGTCAAGGCACAGTTGGGAAGAAGACCTACGCCTTTAGGGTGCAATTGTCTGGCGATGCTACGTTGTCCAGCAGCTTCTTCATCAGCCTTACCTGTCCACCCCCGTTAGTGGAACCGACATTTAGTCTCTCAAGAAGTCTTCTTCTATCCTATTTTTTGCTTCTGACTGTGTTCCCCATGTCTCGGAGGGCTTGAATCAAGAAGCGCATTCGGCCCTGTGAGGACTTCAGCATGGCTTGTTATCGCTGTCCACCCGCGACTCAACTCTAGGCATAAGCTTTCAGCCCCATCAACGGGCATACCCTCACAACTACCCACACAATCTCGAAATCGGGCGTCTTATTCCTGTCTGACCACCCGAACTTCGGTCCTTGGCTGGCGCATGCTTGTCCGAACATCGGGCGTGCAGGGCTTTCTCTCTCTCTCTCTTTCCTGGCCATGGCTTTCCATGTGCATACTTACCTTCCATCCCCAGCTCTGTGTGGACTTTTGTCTCTCCAGACAAAGGAAGTCATCGTTATACCCCCCCTCCGGAGCCACGGAATAAGACGAACAACAATCTGCTGTCCGTGGATCTCACACGCCCCTCCTTCTGCAGGACGCATCTTGGCTCCTGCCAGATTCAACTCTATCCATGTTCCCGTGGTGCCAAGGCGCCGCTTGGTACGGGGGGCCTCTCTTTCTTTTTGCAGTTTCTGCCCTACGTCGGGAAATGGTATGGGACGAACGGACGAGAAAGGCGTTTCTTCCCGGCTCCAAGCCTGTGGTTTGCTCCTATGCCGCTCGGCTCGGGGGACACGTCTCGGTCGAACGATGATGGCTGTTTGCTGTTGAGTCTCTAGAGGTATGTATGCCTTTTTGGGCTTTTTTCTTTTCGCCTTGTTTGTTTCGATCTCAAGTTGTTCGGGATAATCAGGAGATCTCGGTTGAGGATCAGGAGATCTTGCGTTGGGAGTCACTTTCTGCCTTGACTTGTCGTGACGTGACCGTTGGATGTTTATCGAGTCCCAGGGAACTGGGATTGCTCAAACCTCTTCCATCTCTCAAAGGTTCCTTCATCAACGATGCACATGTGAATACCATAGCTTCTTGGTGTTCGGGACTACCATAACGGAAAAGATCCCACGATTATTTGATACGTCGCTATTACTCTGAATAGAGCTCTACGACCAAGACTCCATCAGATTTGGCATGCTATTCACGTTTTCTCTACAAAACTAGCACATAGAGAGAGCCGCTACTTCCATTCAAGACGGGAAACGGCTCAACTCTGCGGCCCGGAGACCACGACACTCGTCTTAGCACTCTTATCGAGGCTCCGAGAATGTTATAATCTATCCGATTTGGACATTACCAAAAGTCCATCAAGCCGGTGATTATATCTTGGACGCAGACGCAGACATCCCTCCTAAGTCCGAACGTGTCCGTAATCCATGGGCATTCGAGTCTGTCTGTCTGTCTTGCTTATCAGAGTTATCAGGCATCGAATAAAAGCACGCCCTGTGTGTGCATCTCTCTACTTGCTTATGCGTCTATCATTCTTTGTGTATGTATGTCTGCCCATCCTTGCTCTCCAGCAGCAGCAGCAGCAGCAGCAGCCATGTAAGTCCAAAGATAAACACGGTTGTGTCCACTGCCTTGCAGCGTTCTTTGCAATTGGATGAACACGCAGAAACCGTATGTCCAGTCCTACAAGCCTGCACACACACGCACGCCGCATATACACATACACTTTGGCTGGTGCTTTGGGACCAGGTGTACGCATGCCCCGCCGCGCGCGTGCGCCTGCGCTCAGCCCATTCCCCCGAGGCGTACAGATTCTGACACGGACATGGGAAAGTGAGAGACGAACGACGAGGAAGGCAGCCAATGTCTCACGTACGTTGTCTTTGAACGAATCAAGAGTTGGGATTGAGTTGGCGTTGCTGCTGACTAGAGTTCTTTTTTTGCTGTCAACTCTGTTTCTTCCCTTTCTCTTCTTGCTCTCTCCCTCTGCGTGTGTGTCTCAAAGCAACCTGGGCTACCTCCCCGGGTTGACCTCTTTTTCGGTTTTTCATCCCCTCTTTCTTCTTTTCGTCGGACCTTGGGCCTTGGAACAGAACCTCGAGAAAGTCCCATCATTGTGGGCCCGCGAATGAGGAGCAGACACGAGACCGAGATTTTCTTGGTTGGCCGTTCTTTTGTGAATCAAATTACATCCGAGGAACCGTGGTTTCTTCATCTCTGGTTCCAGTTCTGTTACTTGGCTTACAAACCTCCCACGCCCTCTTCAAGGATGACAGAGGCAAGAAGACACGCCCCAGTGATGTGGTGATATCTTCCCAGACCCAAACTACGGAGAGAGAGAGAGAGAACAGACCGTGAACCAACGAGGCCTACCTTTCTTCTCTTTTTCTTTTGTCTTTTCTTAGTAACTGTCACGGCTTTAATGTTTCAAACGGGTTCTTCGACGGATCCCGCTAGATTCCCGTCTTCCCGTCCCCTCCCTGTTAGGTTTCGTTCGGTTTGCTGTTCGAACCCGTGGAGATGGGAACCAGTCGTTTTTCTGGTTTGGTTCTGGCCAGGCCAGCCCCGTTTGTGTCAGTCAGTTCGTGGTTCCGGTGAACTGGGTAGAGTTTGGGAAAGAACCCATGAATACCGGTTGTTCATCTCCTCTTTGGAGGAGTATACCATTGAGTCCTTTGTTTGCCGTGTTTCCCTTCCCCTGTCTCTCTTTCTCTCTGTGTCTCGTTATCTCGATGACACACGGTTCTCATCAGAAGCAAGGCCCCTCCTCACTGTTCCCCAACCAAACCTTACGAACCATGTAAGAGAGCAGGTAAGATGGGAAAGCGGTCAAGCTTCTTCTGGTGCCGCTGCGGGATGGCATGTGTCAGCTCCGGTTGGGAAACAGGTGGTCGAGGCAATCGTGACGAATGGTAAGGGACTGGTGGTTTCCCCTTCTCTCCGGCGTCGTATCCCGGAATCCTTCCTACTCCTTTGTGTTTCCCAACTTTTATAAGCTTGTTTCGGTTTTCTTACTGCCATTTCTAGAGCCTATCACATAGTCTCCAGCCAAGTTTGACCGGGCCTGAAAAGGCCTTCCAACTCTGCGTTCTCTTCTTCTCAGCTGTGGAGGATTGCCCAAAACCTTACCTCCCCCTCATTTTCTTATCTTCGGGATCGACTGGGTAGGACTTCGTCGTCCCCACGCTTCCTTCCCCTGGTCGTCTCGCGATCTTTGAAATGTCCGCGATATCGTCTTTTTCATCACGTTGCATCGCCGAAGGCTGATCTCTGCTTACTTCCCCTCCTCGTATGTGTAGGGCCACCATCCATGCCGTACTTCAGGAACTTGGCCGCTCCCAAAGCTGTGGGCATCGGAAACTTTCTTTCCAAAGCACCTCTGTTCTTACTGTTCTCTTTTGCGTTACGCGTACTTGTGAGTGTGTGCGTGGTGTGGACTGGCCTCTCTCGTGTCCTAGACATGACAGTGCATGTTCTGAAGTAAGCAGGGGGCGCCAGATGGAACACACACATACACACGCACACCTACGTACAGATGAACACGCATACACCGCAAAGGCAAGCAACAGCCCATGAGAGGCCCAGAAAGGTCTGCATAGGGTTTCCAGAAATGCAGATCACGGAGGTTGCACTGGCGTGATAGGGCACGCCGAACAACGCGCCCTTGGTCTTGCTTTCCTGCAGGAAGATCAAAGGTATATAACTCGAGGTAGGGTGGCAAAATTATCTTGCTACCAATCCTCTCCTCCTCTTTCTCCAACTCTTGTTGTTGTGTTATTGTATTTTTCGTTCTTCGAAATACTCCCCTTTCCCCCTTTCTCTTACCCTCTCTATTGGGCGTTCGACAGCGATATTGCGGCCCCCCATCTCGTCGACTTCCTATCTTTCATATCTTCAAGTGACTTCACCACCCACTACTTTCCTGTCTATCGTCTACTCATCCAGCCAAATAATGGAACCTCAACCTACCAATGACGTCCCGGATACCACTCACGATGACACAATTTCCCTCATGATTCTCGAATATCTTTGATCATTGAATACCTCCACATCAGCTTCCCAGCTACATCACCGCAAAGTTTTATGCTGCTACCTCAGACACTCTCTCTCTATTCATTGAAGCAAGAAAATAATTGTTGGAAATCAAGCCGTCACCGCAAAATCACGCCAAGCCTCTCAGGCCCTCTCAACCCCAATCGCGCAAGATGAGCAGACGGCAACGTGTCGCTGCGAAGTGGACAATGTTCCTCATCTTCATCCGCAATCCTTCTCTCCTTTAACGTCAACTTTTAAAGAGAGAAGATGGATTGCGGTTCAACCCGGTTCTCAGATCCTGTCTGAGATGTTTCTTGGACGGAAGAAACCTTTTGCTCACAAGGACACTGCTCAGCTTCTGCACTCCAAACGTCAGGAACGGCAACAGTCAAGAGCCTAGGACTTTCCGGTGCGGGATTTCAATAACTCATGGCATGTTCATGACGAATCCATCTCATGGACGGCAAAACAGGCCCGGGTGCCGAAGTGTTGATTTAATTCACAGCATTTACGGCTTTTCAATTGACCGAAATGGACCTGGCACTTCCACAAAGTCCACGAATTCCATCGCAGGTTCCGAACACCTGATCCACGACCCAAAGTCCCCCGGAACAACATCCAGACACCCACTCCATCTCTATCGCCAATCAAAATTACCAATGACTGCGCCTTTTCGTCACAAAGACATCTCCGCGTCGATCCGGCCCGGCATACGATGCGAGACCTGTGAGCATCACCCAACCAATTCAGGCTAGCTGCACAAGGCCAGACAAGCTCTCAACGGTCGAATCTCGGCAACACCCGCGAGACTCTCCCCCCTTGGTCTGTCCAGACTAGATCTCTTTACGGACAAGGCTCACGCCAGCGCCGTATCACAGAGAACAGTTCAAGCGCGTCGGTTGTGGCTGCAAACCCCCGGTGCCCAGTACCAAAGCCGCAATGCGTGCGCTCTCTCCCGGTCAGAATCAGCCTCAAATGCGCGCAAACTAGCTCATAGAGCTGCAGCAGATTCGCTCACCAGACAGCATTGTATAAAGCATCCAACCGATCTCATCCCCGGGATTTTCTTTTTTGGCCTTCATCATTCACGTGTACGCATTCTCAAAATCTCTAATGACAAATACCCCCCGAAAGATGATGGTGGTGCACGTTTTCATATCGACGTGACCATCGTCGCTTGGGGGTGAGTTTGTCGTTCGACATGGCGTTGTTCGTCCGTAAGCCAACGCTCTCTTGCGTCATGCCAGCTTTCATCCGAGGTCCTGGCACTAAGCGTTCCGCGTTTTCCCTCCCTTCACCTCTGATCGTTTGGTTTCAAACTCTTCAGAAACGCGGAATCGCATGAGATAGGCACGCCATTGTCTGGAAGCCTCTTCTAGTTTCTCTTTCCGGTGCCCGTTATAGTCTCTTTGAGATCACACAGTTCCCGGACGAATATTCCGACAAAACCAAGATCGCATCTGATTTCGACGAACGGAAGATGTCTCCGCTTTCTGAGGGATATGATGAGCAACAGGCTGCAATATTAAACCCGAGTCGGGAACCATGAAGACGTGGGTTGATCAACCATGCCACGTATCTCTTCATCGCCCACCCGAACTTTGACAGCCTTACCTACGGCACAGCATCAGGCCTTGCGGTGTCCGTTGAATGCTCCACTGCCATCTTTCTCGAATCTTTGGTGGTTGAGGAGATGCCGAGGTCTGTGGGGAATCGAAATTGTTCACGCCCAGCAGTATGACCGACCAGCCTCGGCGTCAACACCATCGACATGCGTTAATCTCATCCGAACGTTCACGTCGACACACACTTCCTGTCTCACCCATGCAGCGTTCAGCCAGAATTCTTTCGACAAACCAGGAAGGCCAATCAGCACGCGCACCCTCCAGGCAAGGACGATGAGAGAGGTTCTCACGACTTATTCATACGATCATAATTGAAGTTCTGAAAGTTCCACAAGTCAAAGGGGATTCACTTTCACTGCAAAGAGTCAAGATGGCGAGAGTCAACAACTTCCTTCTCATTATCCCCATATTTTCCCACCTATTTATGCTTTAATATCCTCAACGTCTCCATCATCTACATTTCTCAAAGGAACTCATCTCAATCTACCAGGATCGTCAGACCTCCCATGCCAAACCTCGGCGCTACAAAAACGCCAGACCTCAGGGGGGAGCGAGACGGATGGATGAGAAGAGAGGCAGTGGAAGAAGTCGCTCGTAGTAGAGCGGCCGTTATTACATATTAGTCCGACTGACCCTCCACCGTCATCGACATCACTCACCCTCTCCCCTTCATCATCATCGTCATCAACTCCGACAAAACAATAAGTCCTATGCATATCCACATGGCATCATGGGTACTATTTACAAGAACGGTACTGGGAGTCCCATTCAGGAAAAGAAGAAAAGAAAAAAATTAGGAGAGATGAGGTGTCAGGTCTCTGTCACTTAGATGTCACTTAGAGACCGGTGCGGCGGATGGTGCGTCCACGGAGCTGAGCAGGAGGGTGGGCGGGAGCGTTGTAACGCTTGGTGGGCGGCGAGGCGGGAGGGTTGTAGGCGGCACTACAGCAAAGTGTCAGTTTTCAAGAATTCTAAAAGAGATCGCAACGCTTCTGATGAACAGCAAGGGGAGAAAACTTACCCAGTGTACGTGGGGAAAGGCTCGAGGTTCATGCCAGTCTGGTCAAGCACGTTGGCCGTGTTACCGGCAGCGTTACCGGCAGTGGGAATACCCTGAGCGCGGCAGGCAGCCTTGTGATCATCAGGGATGGTAAGGTTGCGGAGCCTCTCAGGAGCCTCAATGATGGTGGCGGTGAGACCCATCTCGACGTGCCACTCAATGTGGCAGTGGAAGAGGTAGACGCCGGGGTTCTTGGCCTCGAAGCGCAGGACTGCATGGGAGTTGCCCATGACGGTGACGGTGTCGCGGCGTGGGGGCTTCTGGTTGAGGCGGGCGCGGGCGACGCCGGGCCAGACGCCCGTGCCGGAAGCGGGGCGTCTGACGACCTGGAAGTGGTGGCCGTGGAGGTGAAAGGGGTGATTGGCCTCGTTGTTGTTGTTGACGACAATGTCGACGATGTCGCCGTAATTGACGATGAAGGGGTGGACGGCACCGTAGACGAGGGGGTTGGTGTTGTTCTCGCCGGTGGTGGAGGCCGTGTAGAGGGTGGGCACCTTCTGGTCGACATAGGGAGTGCCGTTTACGCAAGCGCGGGGGATGCCGTTCTTGTCGAAGCAGAATGCCCAGTCGTACTGGAAGATCTTGGTGGCGGCAGGGAGGATGGCAACGTCTCCGTAGGGCTCGAAGACGGCATCGTCAGACGGGCGCCATTCCTTGACAACGTCGGTGCTGAAGGCTCTGTCGGGGAACATGACCAGCTGTCCAGTGTAGTTGAACGGCCAGCTCTGGGCAAAGTCCTTATTGCTGTAGTCGCGGTTGATATCGGCGGCGATGAGGAAACCATAGTTGCGGTTATCCCGGTCAATACACTTGATGAGAACATCGTAACGCTGAGCGGGAGCAATGCGCAGCATGTACGAGGCCTTCTGCTTGATGTAGGCAGCATCGGACATAATCACGTTCATGTCGTGAGAGTCGAAGTGAATCATGAAGGAAGCAAAGGCGGCGAAGTTGATCATGCGGATGCGGTAGGTCTTTCCCTTCTCAAACTTGAACTTGGCGCCGAGTCCATCGTTGACGACCATGTTATCAGGGATAGGGGGCGCGAAGCGAGTGTTGGACGGAAGCAGCATGTTCTGTACCAGAGGAATCGTCTCCGAGTTGTACCTGCATCGAATTAGTCTAGAAGTCTCACTTCGCATTCTCATGCAGCACTTACCAGTCTGAAACAGACAAGATGTACTCCTCATCGTATTGCCCAGCATAGGGGTCCGCCGGGTCGTGAATAATCAGGGGACCACGCATGCCGTCGGGGTACTGGCCCATGTTGTGGGAATGCCACCAGTACGTGCCACCCGTATCAGCCTACATGATTTCGTTAGCTACGTTGTTAAAAGGCCCGATCTTCATGTTGATTTGACTTACAGTGAACGAGTAGGTCATGGTCATGTCCGGAGGGAGAGGGCACTGAGTGACCATGCTGGGGCCGTCCATCCAGTTGGTGCTGACTTGGTCGATGCCGTGAAAGTGAATACCGGTGGTCTGGTTGCCAAGTTTGTTGGTGAGGTGAACAACGACGGTGTCTCCCACAGTGGCCTCGATCTTGGGGCAAGGCCATTGGCCGTTGATACCAATGACAGCCCTCGAGACATTGAGGGGAGCAGCGTTGACCCAAGTGGCCTCCCAGTTGTAGGTCACAGTCGCGGCAAGGGCAGTGTTGGCCCAAGCCAAGGCGAAGAGAGACCGCAACATAGTGTGCACTCAAGACTAGACAGACCTGGCCTAGCGAGTGAAAATTAAGTAATTATGGTTACTCTTCCGGCGAACGAGTGGAGGAAGGAAGTACGAATGCAGGGGGGAAAGAAGGGAAGAGAAAGGCGCGAGTGAAGAGTAAGATCTCGTATCATAATCCGAAGAGGGAGAGGAAGAGAACTTATACAGGATGAATGACACGAGGAGGATTTGCATGGCCAGAGCGTGAGAAGGGTGGCATCTGGACGCTGCAGCCTTCTCTTGGACTGGCCGGCCCCGGCTGCTGGGTAAAGTTGATGCTCTGACATGGAGCCGGGCTTGGGTTTGGCAAAAATCGATCGATGCTCGGTCGAGGCGAGACGGGGCACCGGAGCAGAACGGCGGCCTGAATGACATATGGCGTTGTGCTGACTGCTTGCACATGGCATGTATTGGAGTCGGGCATGGCCAGGCGTATAAGCCACAGCTTGGTATTAGCTCGATGCATGGTCGGATGTCCGTTGGATGCAGCGAGCTAGGGGAGGGGGACTAGACCCTGTCAAGGCTATCTAGGATGGTTCGTATCATCTACTCTTGGGCAGGTGGACATGGAAGAGCACGGTATGGCAGGTCCTCAGACGAATGAGTGTCGGGACAACAGTCGATATCCATGACTAGGGCCGGTGACCATCTACTCGGGGCTCTTGAGACACCGGCAACACGACCGTGTATTGCTGTGGACTTGAAAGAAGAAACTCGTGAGCTGTAGGCGAGAGAAAGAAGTGCATGAGCAATCTAAAGTTGCATCTCTCATTAGGAAAGCAAGGGGGTCATCAGACGTGTTCAATGTGCGGTTGACCAAAGCCCTGGTGCTATCCGGGGTGCGCTAGCTGGGCAGAAGAGTTGATGAGAAGAGTTGACAATCACTGGATATGTCTACAATTGGGTAGTGATTATACGCCACCATGCAAGAAGGGCTCTCTGCAGGAGAAGGAAATGAACCAGGGAGGCTATTGAGGAACACAGCAGGAAGTGCTGGCGCGAATCCCTGGTCTTGCAGAGAGAAAATCTCACAAGAGATCTTTCAACAGCGACTTGATAGGCAATTCGTCGAGGCTGAACTTGCAGGCCACAACAGTTTGACTCGGGCGCCTTGCGAGAACGAGAGTTCCAGCCCATGTTGAAGGAAGCGTAAGACGGTTCTTCGGCAAGCAGACCACTCTCTCCGCAGGAGCAAGCTACCACCCATTCTCAAGAGTCAGTGTTCGAGTTGTGGGTGTAGGGGAAAAGCGTGAGGTTGCAGGCCTAGTTCGGCCGAAGCGCTCAGATACGTGCCGACGTCATGGCGGTAGACTTTACCCTCTCGAGGTTGGGCCGTCGTTCTGTACGAATCTAGAGCCGAGGAAAAGAGCGCTCTGGTGAGATGGGATGGTCGCCGGATTCCGTCCGCCGGAATTTTCGTCCCAAGAAGCCCGCGAGCGCGGGCATTGTGCGGTTCCGTCATCTTGGCAACAAGAAGCAGACGTTGGATGAGAAGTGAATCAAGAATTTGCTACCAGTACCCTAAAACTCTTTGCGAGGGCGTCGAAGAGTGTGGATTACCTCAACGTGTGTGGATCTGTCTCTAGGAGAGCCAAGATTGAGGGGTGTTGAACCAGGTGAACCAGGTCTCGCTGCTAGGCCCAAAAAAGTCCATTTGTGCTGCCGTTATGGTTAAGAATTGGATTCCAAAGGCCTTCCGGTGACCACTTGAATTTCAATTCGGGAACTTTTGGGTCTTGCCGTGTACGACGAGGCTTTTGTGCTGCGGTGAAAGGTACGACCATTTGGGAGTGTACGCCCACGGGTGTGCCTGTGTACGGAGAATAGATATTATCTGACTTACCGTTCCTCTCTGTGGATGGTCGGGATACATACATTGGCCGCTGTAGTGCCATCGCGGTCTGCAAGAAACGTGTCAGGCCAATGATGAGCTGGCGCTAATGAACAAAGAAGAGACACAACCGGCCGGGATCATCGTGCGCTGAACCAGACTAGCCAGACGACCTCTTGGGTATCGATATCAGCACTGGCATGTTGAAACCCGTGGATTTCTGATTCAGCTGTGATGAAAGTTGGTTATGGGCGCAGCAGAGCCAAGCTGCCAACATGGCAGGGCAGGGAATATGCACAAGCCAGCTGTAGTCATACTGCCTTTCCCTGCTGGCGTTGGCCCATGCGCATGTAAGCAGTGAGCTGTCGGGGTCGTGCGAGTAAGCGTGTATGGATGAAGATATTATCAACATGGAAGCGTCCGAGTGAGGTGAGAGTTGAGGTTGGAAGAAACGTCCTGATGGGACGGATGACGGTACGTATCGGAGGATATGCTTATGCCTGAGGCTCTTGGCTTACTTCCACAGTTCCACTGAGTATTTACCTTACCACGGGTACTGAAGGTAGCATCCCATACATCCGTAGACTAAGGCAGTCAGTAGGTAGCTCAGTACCCGTACCTTACCTTATGCGGAGATGGTTGAGAAGGAGGAGACCCAAGTGCCCTGAGAGGGGAAATTTCCCCCCGCATTAGCGCTGGCGGGATCGTGTTCCCCTCCAACCTGAGGGGCCCTCTTCTCCCGTTTCCCCGTTCCCCTTTCCCACCCTCAAAATAGAAAAGAGCATCGGGAAACAGCTTGGAGCTGCACTTACCGTCGGTCCAAGAGGCTTGGTCCTTCTTGGGCCGGTGCGCCCTACCTTAGTTGCAGTAGCATCAGATTCACCTTCCATCCCGTTTATCCTCGTCGTCCCACTACACTTAGGCCAAAACGGCGGCAAGGGGTCTACAACCAAGCTTCAAATACGAACACCGTCGTGATCAGGCCGGTAACACAGGGATTGTATCCGTACGAGTACCTAGTCGGTGATCAACAGATCACTGATCGACCACGGCACCGTTAACCGACCTGTTGCCAGCCGAAGATCTCAGTGAGTTCTACCCGTTCACGAAACCCACCTTGACCGGCACCATTTTAACTGATGGGGCCGGCTTTCAAGGTTGCTTTCCTCGAGTCCGAGTCCGAGACCTTCGTCGCCTGCAACTTACATCACCACTTTGTCTGTTCGTGTCACTGACCTCCTCTACTTTGTTTCCAGAAGTGGTAGGCATCTGGATCCGTTTCGAACAGAAACCCCCGAGTTTCCGGCCCGTCCAGTCCGTTCATTGCGATCCCTTTCGAAGGCCATCTTGTGGACCGCTTCGTTGGCCCTGTAATGGTGACAAGGTTCGCCTAATCAGAAGTTTCAACCTCTCTGGACAATGAATGGCATTCGGTTTGACAGGAATGACAAGGTCACGGACTTCATCCGCGTCTGGCACACTTTGCGGGTTTAACGATCTCTGAATATCACGCAATAGCAACGCCGGCGTCACGTAAAGTGTGTACATACCTACCATGTGGTCATGACCACTTCATGGCACTGCATACAGTTCTTGAGTGAGACCGGCAGTTTCTCTGCCGTCTGCAACTGCAAAGTCGGTCTCCTCAGTACATACTCACCATTCACTTCTTGTCGTTGTGGAGTGCGATCATCCACCCTACCGAACACGACTACCTATCCGTACAGTCTAACAGAACGGCCCCCTGGCTTTTCAGGTGGCCCGTAAGCCACACCATTCAAGGGCTAAGGCGAGATGCGACCACCACTTCGGCACCTGCAGCACTATTACCTGGATACCGTTACAACACACCCTTGGCATCTTTGACCTAGATCGCCCATCCATCTGATGCCCGCTAATTAAATGCGACATGCCTTGTCATGACATGGCCCTTAGCCAGCACGTTAACAAGAGCTCCGGGCCCCCGAGTTAACAAGCATGCCCTGAACTTACAGCCTAGTAGCACTTCCCCCTCGCTTGATGGCCCACTCACCACTAATTAACTCCCCATGAGGTCCGCCCAAGAATGGCTAATTAATTGACAGCATACGGATACAGCTCTGTTGCTCGCCAGCCTGATCCGAACGGCGCGTCTAGAGGTTTCCGGCCATCCAAGACACATCCACCCGCGGCTTCCGCTAGATCGGATGGCCAAATCCGCGCTGCTAAAGCTTCTGAATGACATGGGCCAGTACCGCGGCGTCTGTCTACGGTTCTGTGTTACACAAACTGGTTGAGGTACCTCTGCCACCATTACATGGAGAAAAGTATTGGCTTGAGCCAGGTCTTGCAAGCCTCTTTTACTATCATGCATGTAAGAACAGATCCCTCAAAGAACACGTCAAACCTGCTTTGGGGCGTCGAGAATCCTGCACATCGGAGGAGCCTAATTATAAGCGAAGCTGAGCTGGATGGATCGGGAAAACGCTTGATTACCCCAGGCCTTACCCAAAGGCTGAGCCACTTGGCAGAGGGATTCTATTCACGCATATGCACGGATCATAGAAGATCAAATGTCTCTCTCCTTGGCGCTTCTCTTCGCTTGTGTAGTTCTCGCTGCCGGTATTGCCGTCTAGCTCGTCGTTGTCTTTCGCTTCGACCATTGTAGCTCGTCGTATACCCTGTTGCTAGTCTGAGCTGCATTCTTCTTCCGGCTATCTAAGCTTCAACGGCCAGTGTCACTCAACTATGTTTTGTGAAGAAGGCAGGTAGGCGAGACGTTTTCAAGTTGTTCGGCTCGAATGTCTAAGTAAGTAAAGCTCTACTACTTTGGGGCAACAAAGCTGGCATACTCACAGTACATATGTCTCCCTAATGCCGCTGGCCCAGAGCCTCGGTATCACATCCAAGTCCAGACATGAATATAAGGGATCCTCATGTTGCACAACCAATGTTGGTGGCTCAAGTAACTCGATGCCAGGCGCTCAAGATATGCTGCATTTTAATGCAACTAGCGAAGTTGTGCATTCCTCCAGAGACAATGATCTAGTTTGACGGCTTGCGGCGAATCACCAATTGACGCTGAACATCGATACAAGTGGAGGCGTCAATATCTAGAAATACGGTCAGCTCGATGCCCCCTGGACACCGCCTACTTTGAGTGCCGAGCCCGACATATCCAGCTTCCTGACTATCCTGGTGAAGTTACCCAAAGGCTCCTCTTCCAAGGCAACAACGCCTTACGGACAGCACCCAGGCGCAGATGCAACCCAGAGGCTGATGCACACCTCAGCATCGTGCATACGCCCTCGACGGAAATATTGCAGAGCGCGCCGCTTAGCGGCCAAGCCTTACCTCGTGAGTGGATGAATGGGAAGCATCCCGCCCCTAGCGTCTATCATTCACCGAGCCTTGCAGGAACCCCTGGTCCCCGTCCGCACCACTGTGGCTGACAACAAAGAGAAGTCGGTCCATTCAACACTCAGCTTACTTGAATTGCCTATTGCTTATCGATGTCCTACTACAGTGGGGATGGCGCCCAGCTGACGGCCTCGTCGCTCAACGGCCTTGGGGTTGCGGGGCATCGATTGATGCAGCCAAAGGATGATGGCCATCATGGATTGGAGGGATGGCTGACAATTCTCAAGGTGCTACGTCGGAAGAACAAGACTGCTGACCACCAGTGGCGCCTAGTGTCTTGGATCAATATGGAAAATTGTCGCCTGATCCAGTCGATTGTCCGACCTTCTGAACGGCCGACCCTCTGAGCGGTGTTTCTTCAAAGTCTCCGCGTTGCTCCCGACCGGATCGCCGAATTTTTGTCCCGTAAATGTGGGGATATCGGGGCAAACACCGGAGGGCCCGCTCTCAGGTCCAAGTCCTCGATCGTTCGGTGTTGAACAATTCAATGTTGAGAAAACCCGAGAGTCCTGCAGTGCTTCTTTGTTATCACAAGTAGGCTAGTAAGTCGTGACATGGCAATACGGCACTGGCAGGACTCCGATTTTCCGCTCCTACAGCCCGAAGTTTTCCATCCGAAAACTTGGTCACCGCAAGGGACTCCCCACGGCTCCGTGCTTCTTGACTAAAAGTACCCAGCCCGACGGAATGCACGGGAGACAGTAATAATCCCAATTGTCTGCAGGAAAATGGTGTTGGCTGCTGTCAACATCCCCCAGGCAGTTCGACTGTTGCTTTGACACCCGGCAAACCACGAGGCTGGGTCTCCTCGACACGCTTTGATCACAGCACACACTCTATGCTTCAACAGCCTAGTCTGCTTTTCGACACTAAATCACCCCACAAAGTCAGGTTTCCCGAATAATCTGAAACCGATTCCTTCTGCGTTCGCTCGGTCATCTGCTTGCGTAACACGATGTCTGGTCCCCACCGCCGCTGCCCTTGCTTCTGCCCTGTTCACTTTGATGTCTCTTGGCAAATCGTATGTTCTCTCTCATTCGATACTGAATAAGCAGCGGACCACGGTGACGGGACCTTGTCGTCGCGGCGACGACTGATCCCGGGATGACTCGGTGATGGCGCCGCCGAGACCTTTGGTGGAAGGTCGATGAGCGGGCGAGCTGGCGGGCGACCCAGTGTCCCCCCTCTCCGAACACGAGGTTTTGGTTGCCCGTGCTTCAGGAGAAAAATTCCATTGTTTTCTTTCTTGCGAGGAATCCTTTCCCCGGAGGCTGGTCGCGGTCGACGGCTACATGGTGTCAACTAGGATGCAGCGGGAATCCTTTACGCGGAACCTCAAAGTTGCGAGGGGAGGTAACCCAGAGAACACATCTCAGGTGCCTCGGCGGAACTAAGTTGAATTGACAATCACCTCTCTCGAAAACAAGCATGAGGACATTGAGATTCAAGGAGTCTCTCCCAAAGTGAAGCCTCCGTATTTCAGACTCGAGAAGCTCGTAGGCCAATCTCTCCACTAGTGAAGCCTTCGTAGATTCTTCCATACCCAAGGCAGATTTCGATTCGTATCTGGGCTTATATGGCTGTTCCTGAATTGATTGATATCATTACTTCGAAGCAATATGCAAATTATGTTAAGTTCCTGACAAGTCTTCTGCAGTTCTTTCGTTATTAGCTCGAAACCTCGCCGTGGACATGGTAATTCTGGATTGCCTGGGAGCCAATTCAGGGCGAAGAAAGTTTCTAACTCTCACAACTTGATTACAGAATTGAACACCAATTTCCCACATTGGGTTTGTAGCCCCATGGCAACTGGCAGCATGTGAAGAGCAGAACACCTTAATCTCAGCCTCGGGTATATAGACATCTCATCCGGCAAAAGCGATGAATCGCAGCCCCATCATTTGAAGATCTTCCTTCCATCACTAGAAGGCTTCTAAATTACTTCCATTTTCAAGAGCTTAGAATCCTATTAACTCTAAAGATGGAACAAGGCGAGGGGTAACCTTGCACTAGAAGCTTGCACTGAATGAGCCCAGGCGTTTTTTCTCTTTCGTCCCAATTTTGATCGCGATCACGACGTGTCGCCCCCCCCCCCCCCGGACGGAGCTCCGTTGTTCAAAATACCTCATAGGTTAGATTTGATCTTGGTTTTGTATTACTTGTACACGTTTTTTGAACGAGCTCAAGGGCTTTGGGTGCTGTTTGCTTTGAGAGTGAAGTTGTAGTAGGACGCGATCGATGGGCTCATTTGATTTCTTCTCGGGATATAAGCGTTGACTTAACGACTTCATCCCATTGGGTCTGTCTTGTCATCTCGTTTGAGTTATGAAGCTAAAAGTCGACCCGACAGTCAGGTGAGAATGAAATACCTGCCGTTAGAGAACATTGTGGATCACAGACTTTGGCAAATTCAATACGACTCCTAGAGACATCTTTGATGTCGATGTAAGAGTGAACGGCCTCACCGACGAGTGATGAGAACAAGTTTTGACTGTTGAGCAAAGTTGGCTGCACGAAAGATTGCCGTGGCCAGGTTACGGCTCATCACGCAGGATAGGAGGCATCAGGTCTTGATACCGCTAATTTCCTCCCACAGTTATTACTCGTCTTCATCGCTAAATTTCTGCTAGTCGACCTTAGTCGTGGGTCCGTATTCGTTCCTTGAGAGAGCAGATTGGGGGTCTGGGTGACAGTGATGAAGAAAGCAACTTGCTTCGACTAGAGAACAGACTAGTGACTGCCTGAATGATCAGGACGAGCTGCTCATAACTTCAAATAATTCAATCAAGAACTTGAAGTTCAGCCCATGCTTTTACTTGCCCGATTTACAATAATCTCATTGCCAGTCTATCTGCGGAAGCTGCGGACTCAACGGGCCATAACGAGTTGCTGAGAGCATGCTAGACTGCAAGGAGTGTGCCGAGCCAAGAAGGGCACTCCAGATTGATATGAAGATGCCGGGATGACATGAATGCGTCTCCTTGTGAAGACTCATTGAAAGCAAGTCTGAACTGCTGGACCAGTCAGTTCATACTTGGTACATAGCTCTATCCCTCCCCAGACCCGATGCAGGCTGGTCAAAGTTGATTCCCAAGTCGTAGCAACTGGATGAAAGCTCGGCGAGACGGACTCAAGAAAGAGCTTTCAGCCGAATCATGTTGCAATCTCATCTCCATTGCTTGATGTGTCGAGTTGGTTGAGCTGGTTGCAATCACGATGTGAGACAGCCGATTACTTGGTACACAAGACCTGAGATCAACTCATCTCTCAACCCGTATATCACCCCCCTTCTCAATTTTTCTCATTTCATTGAACCATAGTAATGAAATTTCTTCTGTCTCCACTAATCTTCAGGTCCCAGTTGTGTTGTGGGGTCGTCACCCGCCATAGTCGTCGTGAGAGCCTCGCCGATCACAACAACATCCCCGATAGTCTAGTGGTGAGGATATCTGCTTGTCATTGAATTTTCAACGATTCGCAGGGGACCGGGGTTCAATTCCCCGTCGAGGAGTCTGTCTTTTGCTCTGCATCACTTGTTTTTGAGTTGTCGTGAAGAGAGGGTGGTGGTGATGAGTTTTTGGTGGTTGTGGTGTGAGTTGTGAGTTGTGGACGTCGGTGACGCGGCAGGCGGCACGGATTGCGCCTAATGAAACGTAGGAAGGTACACTGGTTTCGAAAGTACCCTATCCTCTCTTTAGGAATTTCTAGCTCTTTCCTTACTTTCAAAATCTTAGTTGGCCTGCATGGTATTCTCTGGGGAATAGTTGTCGCTCAATCGGCAGTGAAGGGCGGTAGGTGCTAGAAGGGGAGGTAAGTAAGTTTTCCTCATGTAACATGATGCGTTCCTTCAATCCATATCAGTAGTGTTAGCTGGTTAATACCGGTCTGAGGCCGAGTTCAATGTTGCTGCTGGGATGCCGGGATGCCGTCGAACTGATGGTGCTTGGTAGTGCCCGTGAAGGCAGGACAATTCTCGGGTATATTTATAGGCTTGATTACTCAATTGAATGAACTATTTTGACTTTCTTTCTGGCTTCGGGTAAATAGGCCCAAGGGTCATGGGCGTTGCGCATCTAAAGAACGTCGCGGCAAGAATCCATACGCACAGCAGAGGGGAATATCCGGTTCACACAGCCTACTCTAAACGCTGCTTTCAAAACAAGCCCATTTAATATTACTGAGAACAAGGTACGCTGTGTATATCAAGGTGAAGCTGCGCTCTCATTGTCTCCCTCCTAACAGTAACAGTCGCAGTCGGCGCCGTTCGCCATCCATCTTCCACTAGCAGTCCGGCACTTCGTCCAACGTCAGCCGAATGCTCTCTAGACCATATTACAACTCGTGACAGAGTCTTTTTGTAAGAAGAGGGAACGTGGCGCAAGACTTACCTTGTTACTGCACAGGCTATAGCAGCCATCCTGATCCGCAGGGCTGCAATTCGACACCCACTACATGGTCAATTAGCACCAAACGTTTCGCGCGTACACCAGACACAAGACTAAATAGATCTAGCCTTGGGAGACCTGTTCCGCCTTCAGGTGAGTTGGGTTGAGAACTCACGTTCTTGTCAAACGCCGTGCCGCACTTCTGCAGCCGCAAGATGGCGTTGACGCCGCAGAGCTGCATCGCAGCGAGTAGGAAGGCGAGGAAGAAACGCATTTTGACGAAATGGGAATTGGAACTTGTGAAAGAGACAGCTGAGACTGGTGTGGAAATCCGTTCGGAGTGCAACGTTGTACACGAAAGAGACTCTGGATAGTATGAAGCAGACTTTCTATCGCGCTTGCTTCCTTAAGCTTATATATAAAGTACTAGCTTGCCCAACTACACTCCTCTCCTTCAGCTCAACCTACTCTAATTACCCAGAACCCCTAGATGATCAGTCTATTAAACCTTCATTAGCGTCAAGAGCGCAGGCGAAAGTTGCCCATGAATCCGTGCAAAAGGGCCTGGAGGATGGAAAAGTCATTAATCTGACTCGTCAATCAATCAATTAAACTTGCCAACTCGGCAGTCCTTTCTACTTTATTTGAACCACGCAGGTTTATAATACAGAGTGCGTGAAATGGGGCATCTCCTCAGCCCTGGGCTACCCCCTTAGCCATTTCATTCTATCTGCTATCGGGCTTCTCCGTGCTTTTGTCTTGGCATTTATCGGTCTCGCATTCTTAGTAGTTTGCGAGAAAACTCAAAAACTCGCACCCGGGGCTGTGGATACTGGACAGGACCCGGGAGAGGCCTGGGCAACCCCGGGTTTCCCGCCCGGACCGGGGGCCACGGCGGGGAAAGCGGGGCGGAAGCGAGTAATCTCTGGCCGAGGCACAGAGTCTCAGCGAGGAGCGATGTGACTTGGAATGATGAAGTACCGGTCCTTTAGAGAGATTTTCTCATCGAATAATTGCTAAGGATACTGAAGTCTTCTTTCCACTGGAAGTCTTCGCCAGTGAGAGGGGGCATATGGGAGACCATCGGCTTCGTCTTTGTTTCAGTTGATACCTTGAGCAAGGTAGGCTCTATGCCGGCGCCATTCTGAACTCGACATCTTTTAGGGCTTCGTGCATAGTATGTGCCAGCATACGGCTGATATAGATCTTGATGGTGCTGGTCGGGCTTAGTTCTCCCTATAGGCCCAATCCTTAAGTCCAACCCTCTAACTACAAGCTACAGTCTTCTAGTTTCATTCAATATCAACCTTACTCTTCGTTACTTATTGTCTGATACGTATCGTTGGCTGAATACGTTCTCTGCTAGAAATGCTTACGAGGAGGTGGGTGTATCGGACATACAAAGCATCCTGACCTCCTTTACTACTTTAATGAGTGCCCCGTCGCTTTAGTACAATAGCTAGAGTCGAAGTGAACCGCCTACTGAGAGGGCGATCCAGACCATCGCTGACCAGCTGCCTATTCAGGATAATCGTCACACCTTCTCCAAGACGTCAACTTATATTGAACAACAGACTTCGCTACGCAGTCCAAGCTGCTCCGCTTCTATGCATTGCGCTATATCGCCACGCTAATCCCAATCGCCTCAACGGTATGGGTAGCCGCATGACAGCTGGCGCAGTTCTTGCGATATTTAGAGCAGGCCTCGTGTTCAAGATGCTGCTTCATACCTTTGGAAAGTCACTTGTGGTGGCGCTTCTTCTACTCCATAATCGCCCGCATGACCACACCCGTACCATCGTTAACTAATTATCGTCGTCAGACGCAAACGTATTCGTCCACGACGATACATTGAACATAGAATAACCAGGACGAATAGGAAGAACATGGCTTTGTTAGGTAGCGTCATATGAAGCCCACATATTTATTACAGATGATATAAGTGATAAAGGTGAACCAGAGCCACTGAGAAGAAATGCCTTGGCCAAGCGATTGAGAAAGGTAAGGCGTTATCAAAATAGACCACCTTTCAAAAAGAGGAATTGTCACAAAATGCTGTCCCGCCCGAGCAAGCGTGTTTTATCCCTACAGAGCCTTTCTATCACATGTATCAAAGATGCTTTTTATACCATCAAATCCTTGTCGAACAGCCCGCTGATTAAGGTAGTAACAACGCACAAGTCAGCCAAACAAGGCTCGCATGCCCGCCAACAAAGAGACGACAAATGAGATGCATCCCACAGAGGCCCAACGACATCATCTTTCCCGACAACGCTCCGTATCAGAGGATGCCCAGGACTATCAGGAGTATGACATCTAGGTCTTCAGGTAAGTAGTCTACCTCCCCTCCCTTAGTAAGACCTTACGGAATCAACTCCGTTCTGTTGTCGCACTCCTCTCTACACCAGCCCATCTCAGACTCTGCTCCCCCTTTAGGCTCAAGCATATCTCCAGTCGTTCTCCACCTCAACACCTACGGGACCCTCGCTGCCTCTTGCAGACGGAATATCAAACCATCGTATAGGAGTCGTCCCGCACATGATCGAAACTGGGCATCCGATAAGGAGCTTGGGGAAACGATGGCAACAATCACGTTAAGCGACTCAACAGGGTGAGAGAGAACACAAGTTAAAGAACCCAAAACCAACCATTTCTCTTCTCGTCTTAGCTCGCCAACGCGCTCTCGTCGACCACCTCTCGAAGGAAAAAAATCACCATCATAATCCAGAAGAAGAACAGGAATAGGAGGGAAGTGGAGGGGTAGGGCCGAACAACCCGCCCGGAAAAGCCCGGAAACCGCTGCTGCGCTTCACTTTTCTAAAAGACCATAAGCCTCACCACACGTTTCTACCCAGCAAAGATCTCCTCAAGCCCGTTCCACGACCCCTTGGACCTCTCCTCCCAGTACGAGTCCTTGCCCGTCCTCAGCTTCCACACTTCCTCGCCCTCCGGGCCCTGGCCGACCTTGACGAACCACTTGGGCTTGTGCTCCTCGCCCTTCTCCTCCAGCACCCGGCGCCGGGCGCGCTGCGCCTCCTCCAGCTTCACCTTCCACTCCTCGGCCTGGTCGAGGTCGCCCTTCTCGGCCAGACGCTGGTCCGGTCGGAGTCGGCTGTCCGTCGGGGGTAGCCTGCCCTTCTCAATCTCCGTCACCTCGTTGAGAGCCGCGGCGAAAGTGGTCATTCCGTAGGTGTTTGCCGCATTGTCAACGAGCTTGCCGACGCTCCAGATCTCCCGACCGGCCGCCTTGCCCGCTTCGACGACGCGGAGGCCGCTGGTCCACGTGCCGGAGAGGCTGCTGCCGGTGTGTACCCCGTCCGGTCCATATGTCTCAACCTGGACATCTTCGCCTCGTCCACCAAACATTCCCTTGCTCCTGAACTCGACCGAGGCCTTGGCTCCGGACGAGTCGTTGCAGATCTGCATGACACCAACCGGCTCCACGTACTTCTCTCCCATTACCACATTACGCAAGAACATCGTGGCGTGCGTCCAGGAGTACAGCTCATCCGTGCCATCTGGGAGTCGAAGCGCGACACGAACACGACCTTCCGTAGTGATTTCGGCACTCTTGCCCCAGAACTTCTGCGATGGCGCAGGAGATTGGCTGAAGGACCAGCTGGCAGAGTCGGCCTGCATGGCGAGTCTGACAGGACGATGGCAAACCTTTTCGACGAGCAATCGGAAACCTCCGGGCACTTCCTGCTCGGTTCGTAGCATTTCGTACGTCTCGCCTAGGAGGGGGTTGAAGGGTTTCCGAATAGCGCGTTCCTTTGCACGGCCAGTACTGAACTGCGATACTGCGAATGCCGTAATGTAGAGGAGACGTTCCTTGGCCTCCTTCTGCTGAGCAGCTTGGTCAAGCAGCTGGGCGTATTCCAACTGTTCGGCAACGCGCTGCAATAGTGATATAGGTTCGTTTGCAGATACGGGCATACTGATCGTGCTAAGGTCCTTGCCAACATTCTTCCGCACAAACGCGATCAGACTGGGAGGCTGCACCAAGGCCGGCGGAACCTTGGTTCGTCTGTCGACGGAGATGTCCACCGGCAATGGCGACAAGCTCTTGGGCTTCGCTGGATAGCAATCAGTATCCTCTGAGCCTATAGCCTCATCCTCCTGAGCCGATGAGATGGACGAAGAGTCACTCAAACGTTCATCCGCATCCGAGTCTGGGCTTTCGTCTTCGCTCTGGGCGATCCTGACGATCTGCGAGCTCGTCTCCCCGGCCTCTGCGTCAAAGAACTCTTCCGTCGAAACTGTCTCCATACTTCTTCTAGAGGGTGCCGCAGAGAGGGGAGCGGGAGATCGCCGACGCTTACTGTTCACAATCAATGTCGTGAACTCAGACACAACGGAGTCAAGATCGTTGAGGAGTGCCGCACAATGCTCTTGTGTGCTCTTTTCTTCGTGGACAGACGATTTGGACTTTGATTTTGAGTGGCGGGGTCCATTTGCACTGATTGTCGTTGTGACAGTACCCGGAGAAGGAACAGCAAGAGCAGCAGCGGCGGCCGCATGATGCGCTTGGGGTGTGGACGCTGTCGGTGTAGCGTTACTTGACTTGCGCTTCCAGAATGGGCGCCTTTGCGGCTGTTCTGTCGCTGCGGGGGGTGTGAAGTAGCTGTCTGGTTCCTCGCCCAAGGTACCTGGTGACAAGAATGTCGAAGCAGCCATGCTAACAGGCCTTTGGTTCGACATATCCTTAACCAGACGACGAAGAGCGTCCCTGGTGCCGACCATGCGACTCACTAGAGTCTCAACCTGCTGCCATTCCCGATCTTCCTCCAAGCTTGACTGCGTAGGCTTCAGATGTGTCGTGTTGACCCTCAGAGGCGTTGTTCTGGGGTTGAGTGTGTTGGGTTGCTGCTCCTCCACGCCTCTCGCCGCGCGACTCGCCTTTTCCAAGGCCTTTGCCCAATCGTTGAATTCCTTGGCATTGGACGCCCGCAGATGCCAGATCTCGGCGCCCGAGTCAATGTTAATTTCCCTGCGGCGCTCATCGGCTGCGATGGCAGCGAGACTGAGAGGAATAGCACCGCGGAGCGCAGACGAGTTGCGGTTGTAGTAGTATGAGAGGGTGCAGGAGGAATAATCCAGCGAGAAGAATCTGCGCGCATAACCCTGGCCCTTCTTCCTCCGTCTCTTGTGTAGAATTCCCGTATGGTAGTTGGCATTTCCATCGCTGCGGCCGGAAGCTGACGTCGGGCGTCCTGCGGCAACGTGGCTATGGAGGCTGTCTTGAGAGGCAGATGTGACGGCGCTCATCTGGGGCAAACTCGTCTTGCTGGTGTTCGCATTTGCTCCGGCCTGCAAGTTCGGGAAGTTCTGGGCTGTAGTCTGCGGCGGCGCGCCAGTCGGGTAGGTGAGAAGGACGAAGGTAGCCGTCTTGGAGATCTGCTTCGAAAAGGTATTGTCGAACACTAAGCCGAACATGCCGCCTTGGCCCTTTGGCACATCCCAGGTACCGGTCGATACCTTGTCCGCATCGCATTTCCCGTGCCATTTTATGGGTATGAAGCCCTTGTTGGCGAGCTGCTCTTCGGCTGTGCTCGAATCCCTCCTAGCAAATGGTTTCTTGGGCTCGGCGACGCCAGAGGTAAAGGATCCGGGGGCGGCGGCATCGTCGTTCTGATTCGTAATGAGGCCGGCAGCGCCAGCTCCGGGGTGCTTCACGATTCCAAAGTTACTGCCTCGGCGACTGGTAAGCACGTGTCGGAATTGGAGACGCAGGAGAGGAGAGATGTAAAAGGGGGGTAAGGGATTGAGGTACGCACATGGACTTTTTGTGTGGTTGGACACTCCAAGATATTGTGTGGCCTTCGTCGACTTTGACCCAACGCACGATATAAGACTAGTTGGAGCAAGCTATCAGCAACAAGAAACATCAAGATGCGCCGCTGCCCATGGTCAAGGGCGGCGACGGAGGGGGAAGGGGAAGGCCGGGGACAATGACGACTCACGTACCTTGCTATGGATCTCCAACTGCTCAATGCCCGCCATTTTTGCGGGTTAGGATGGGAGCTCAAGCCGTGGGTAGGATTTCGCAAAGGAATTCGAAATTGAGGGGCCCGTTTACGATCTCGTTCCAGTGCAGGTCGTAAGGCTATTGAAGGGGCATGGTGTGGATGGCAAAGGAGATTTGGAAATAATTCAAATGGGATGAGAGGGAGAGAAGAGGGATGGGTGCTGCGGGAGAAACAAATGTCACCCTGGTCAGAGGTAGGTAGAGCTGCTGCAGCATGTCAAAGTGGGTGAGCTCCCCCCAGGTACGGGCCTAATAAGGTCGGGTACGGAGTACGGGTACATGAAGTACGCGGAACGGACCTGAGAGCACCGCGGACATGGCCCACCAGCTCGGGCAATCAGGTACCTTTTTCATGTGGGATGTTTTTATTTTGGGCACCTCACTCAGCGGCCCACGTCCCAAGACCACCCAGCCACACATCGTACCTCGTACCTCGCACCTCACCCACACCACCACACTTTTTACAGGCGCGCAAGTTGAGGTGTAGGTACCCTGGCCGCTGAATGGTTGGTTGGGGGCGGGACGTCATTCGGAAGAAGAAAGCGAGGCTTGTGACTGGCTGGCCCTGACAACAAACGGGCTGTGCGGTTGTGCCGGCGTGCCAAGTTACAAGTAAGCCGCGGGCGGCCGCGCGGGCGAGGGCAGGGTGGCAGGTGCCCGGTCGGTGGAGGACGAGAGTCCCGACGTTGAGGCTGGGCTGTTTTACGCTAACCAATGCGGCGGGGGACCGTTGTGCTGGTAAGGCAAGACTGATGGAACCCGCATGTATGTCAAGCATGTGCCAGTTGACTCCGTAGATCGAGTACCAGTAGGCGGATGATGCGTACGATGTACACAGCAAGCGGGAGCCAACGGAACGGACACGATGCGATACGGCAACCCGCGTATGTGTGTAAGTGTAGCAGCTACGGATAGAATAGCCTACTCTGAACGGATACTCTACCCTACCCAGGTGTAAGTCCAACGCCTGCATAAGGTAGAATACCTAGCAGCGCCCAGCCACAGCGCCATTTCTCCGCCCGTTGATCGCTCGAATTCTCAGCCTTGTCGACCAACCCGAGATTGCCATGCGGCGGAACCGAGGTTTATGATTCAAAATAGCTCAGGAGAACAGGCAATTGGCTCTTGTGACTCCCATGCAAAGTCCCCTCCCAAGTTTGGGGTCACATTATACGCAGAACACAAGTACCTTATTCGGAACCAATTTTTCGTATCCCATCGCTATGGAAGTTTCTTGCAGTCACGACCCGACGTCATATTGCGCAAGAACAGAGCGTTGAAACGGTCGCATGATAGACCTCGAGCTGCGCGTTGAGGACCTTGAATTAGGGAATGGTAGCAGGTCGGCAATCGCGGATGAGCATCTGCTGACTTGAGCTGATTGGCCGAGTGAGCCGCACTTCATCTACCAGACACAATAACACACAGTGGCATCCCCGAACTACCCTTGCTCGGCCTTGTCGGATGGCTATCAGTTTGTCATGCTGACTGCCTACCCTTGATGGAATTACGTTGGCACAGTATGGCCATGAATCCTGAACAGGTGAGGCATCCGTAGGCCGAAGGAAAAGAGCGAAGCACCTAGGCAGAGGCAGATGGGTTTCGATATGAAAACTGTCAAGGCGAGGGATGAGGTCAGACAGCATCTTAAGTTTTGCTACCTTAGCTGATGGCCGTTGTGAGCCGGTGGCACAAGGCGACGTGCAGCAGCTGAAACGATCGCTACGATCTGGCAGCAGCAGCACCGCAGCGTTGGAAACAGGGTCAGCGAGTAGCACTCGAGCAGGTGCAGTTGACCGAGATGGTCCATCGACAAAGTGTGAATGACAGAAGCAAAAAGAAGGACTTCCAAGTTCGGAGACGGCCTCTCCTATTCGTCAGGCGAATCAGAGATGTGTGATATCGTCGGCTGCTCCATAAGGTACCTATGTGCCTAGATACGTGCATTGCGCTCGGTAGCACCCGGACCCGCGGCACCACCGGAACAATGTCGGCCCCCTCTGGGCAAGCTGGGCCCACTGGCCCGTGACGGGAACCAATGACCCAAGATGACGACGGGAGGTGAGCCGGGGCCGTAATTCGCGGATAGCCGAGCGTGGAGGGGGCCCGAATCCACTTCCACGCGTTCCTTCCACGATGCCTGTCCAACTGTCCCACCAAGCACCGCCCAGCACCCAGCACCCAGCACCAGGGACCAGCACCAACCCCTCTGGTATTATTTTGATATTATCAACTTTTATTTGTTCCGCCTCGTCGCTCGCGCTCTTTCTCAGTCTCTCCCGCCTCTCACAGGATGACTACCTAGGAAGCGGCATGCTTCTTTGTCCAGACCCATCACCAGCCTGCGCCCCTGAGCCCCCCTCCCCAAGCCCAAGGTCCATTGGCACTATCCTCTTTGGGCTAGACGGCCGACTCCCTCCACCTCTGGCCTTTCTTTCCCCTCTTGCCGCTAGGCTTGCTGCTTGCTGCTTGCACCTGTATGCCATCTGGTGCTTCTTTGCAGGTTGATCGTCTCTCCTTTTTCCTGAGTCGCGCGCACTACTTACGAAAGACACCCAAGGTCTTACCAAGACACACACACATCATTTTGGGCAGCACATGTGGAGCGTCCCATCGTCTTTCATTGCTGAGGGCATTCTTTTGTTGCTCCATTGCGCCGCCGAGGCCATCTAAAACAATTCGATCCCAAAGTCGACAAACGGCCATTTCTTCTTGCTCCCTTCTCGAATGCAGCCTGGTCCGCCGCCATCAGCAATCCCATTCATTCCGTCTCACTCTCCGACGCTGGTGTCCGTTTTCCTCAGCCTCCTCTACGCATGATTGAGGCCATGTTTGTCGTCGCGTTTCCCTTTCCACCTTCGACATCGGGCTCCCTCTTCCCCAGTGCATAATTTCCATGGTACACCTTGTTTCTTAATACCCCTTCCTAAAACCCATCTTTCCGCCCAATTACCTGCCGCCGCCCGCCCCTGGTTGGCCCGAAGAGAACCCCTCGATCTACCTTCCGATCTTGACGACCCGCGCCTTGTCCAACCCAAACTTGTTTCTTACGAAACCCCCAAACCGCCAAACCGCGCCCCGACGACATACACTGCCGCCAACGTCGACCGTTGCACACAGTACCCTCCCTACCCAAACATGGCCGGTGTCCTGAGCAAGCGCCAGCAGGCGCGTAACGAAAAGGTCCTTCACGATCTGGTCCAGTCCGTACCGGGGAACAACTTGTGCGCCGACTGCCAGGCGCGGAACCCAGGTAAGTGCAACTGTGCTCTCCCGCCGCTCAGACCGTGGGCCAGATACTGACAGTAGTTCGTAGCATGGGCCTCTTGGAGTGTAAGCGCGACAATTCCCCCCCATGCGCCCCATTGATACGATTCCCATTCGATTGGGACGGTCACCGTTGACGAGCGAGACTGACGTGCGACTGTAGCTAGGCGTGTTCCTTTGCATGAGATGTGCCGCTATCCATCGAAAGTTGGGAACGCATATCTCAAAGGTGAAATCCTTGAGCATGGACAGCTGGTCTAATGAACAAGTGGAGGTTTGTGCAAATGTATGCCCCATGTCGAGATTCGTCGCCCCTGACCCAACCTTCGCAGAATATGAAAAAGGTCGGAAACGTCAGGTCCAATCAGATTTACAACCCCGATAACAAGAGACCTCCCGTTCCTGTCGATGCCGACGAAGCTGATTCCGCGATGGAACGATTCATCCGCACCAAATACATGAACAACATCCCCATCCCCACGAGGAAGCAACATTCGGGCCTTTCAGATGAAGGCGTTCCTCCGCCGCTACCACCAAAGTCGGGAGGCAAGTTTGGGTTCAGATCAGCCTCGTCAATCTTCCCGCTATCGTCTCGGTTGAGAAAGGATTCGTCATTGCGTAACACCGTGTCGAGTCCCCGCGAGCCGCGAAGTCCCTCGCCCAGCGATTTGCCGAATAAGCCCTCCAAGGTGTTTGGCGCGAGCGTGTCGTACGAGCAGGAAGATACAGAGAGGAAATTGACCAGTCTGAGGGACATGGGATTTTCTGACGGCCAGCGCAACGCTATGGTGTTGAAGGGCGTGAACGGAAACCTGGAGCGCGCGATTGAGACACTGGTGCGGTTAGGCGAGAGCGATAGACGGTCACCTTCTTTGACAGGGCCTCGCGAGAGCTCTCTGCGCGCGACACGCTCGCACGCGAACCTGTCAACGTCTAGTGGATTATCTGCACCGCATCAGACGTTCAGTGACCACCCCCAGTCGCCCTCGACAGCCTCTAGCAACAACCCCTTTGACATGCTGCCGCCGCAGCCGCAATCTTCCCAATCGACCGGCACGCTCCAGAATAAAAACCCTTACGCGAACAACCCGTTCGGAGCTCCCACGCAACAGCAGCAAGATATTGCCCAGGCTTTCGGCAGCATGTCCCTCGCGCCAGCGCAACCCCTGTTCCCGCACCACACGGGCGGATTGCCGGCTTCCCAGCCATTTGCTCAGCCTCAGCAAATATACCAGCAGTCCATGACGCCTCCCATTCCGCAGCAGCATCAGCAGCAAAACTACAACCCCATGAGCTTTAATAGTAATATGACATATCCCCAACCCATCCAGCCGCAGGCAACGGGCTACAACCCATTCCTCACGAACCAGGCGCAGCCTCAGCAGCAACAAAACCTTGCAGTCAACACAGGGCCATCGTCAAGCCCATATGCGAACAATCCGTTCACTCGATCTCCGACAAGAATCCAGTCGCCTTCGCTAGGCCAGATACCCGAGCAGTCGCAATCGAACTTTTACATGGACTCTCCGCAGACGATGACACCACAGAGCAGCAACCCCTTCTTTGCACAACTGGGCTCGCAACCTACGGGGCAACAGCAGGTACCACAGCAGCAGCAGCAGATGTACCAGCAACCATTCCAGCAAGAGCAGCAGGCGTTTGGGCAGCAGCAACAGAACCCCTATCAGCAGCAGCATCAAAACGCTTTCCAGCAACCGGTTCAACAGCCGTTCCAGCAGCAGCAGCAGCAGCCGCACCACCCGTTTCAGCAACAGGACATCCCGCAGCAACAATATCAGGTTCCAGCGCCACAGGCTCCGTATCAACAGCAGCCCCAGTACCCTCAGCAACCTCAACGGCCCGACAAGGCTTCGATTCTGGCACTGTACAGCCAACCGCAGCTAGCACCTCAGGCTTTTGCACCCCAGACCCAGGCGCAGACGCCAGAGGTACACCCCGAGGTCGCAGCACCTCAGCAGCAGAGCCAAGACGCAGCGGGCGGATCCATGGGAGCAGGGAGCAAGAACCCCTTTTTGATGAATGGCGGCGGTGGTGGTGGAGGCATGTCATCGCCGCCGCCACCACAGCAGGCGATGGCGGCCCCCTCAGCGAATGCTGTCGGGCCGCGCAAGGCGGGTGTCAGTCGCGAGAGCATGGCATTTACGGATATGCAGTGGACAAACGGGAGGCACAGCCCAGATGCGTTTGCCAGTCTAAGCGCGCGGCACATGTGAAAAGGCCGCCAAGGAGGGTGTCTCAAGGTCTTGATTCTTCTTGTACATACATGCATAATTTTTGTTCTTCGTTTTATTGTAAGATGAACTGTCGATTCGAGACGATGTCCGCGATTTTCGCATACCACGATTGCTCGTTCCAGACTACTATACAGTAAAATGGCCTGCAGAGGGTTCTTCCCTACACGCGTATATCAACTTCGTTCTTTTTGTGTTTTGACATCGTTTTGACTTTGTGTGTCATCTGTTCTTTGTGCTATTTGAGTTACGTCCACCAACGTAACTTTCTCTCTATGAAGAAAGACCCTTGCTGTCTGAACCCCCACGGGGAATTGGCCGAGACTAAAAAGGACACGGCCGAGAATCAACGGGGTTGCCCCGACCCGATGGGATGATATGCCGAGATCGGAACCTTTGCGGCGGCGGCCTGTTATCGACTCCACACTAGACTTTATGCCGTAGCTCCGAGTATACTGCTTTTCCGTGGGATTCCGGTAGGATTCACCAAAAATCTCCAAAAGTCCCGCTAAAGGACGCGAGGCCGAGGCCGAGGCCGAAGATTCAAATGCCGTAACGGGGCGATGAGTCAAATCCCGGGAAACCACAAAAACCTCACCGGGTGCGCGCCAAGCTGTCTGTACATTTCTTAGCTCGAAAATACGACTTCCTGTTACATAACCTTCCTAGGACTGATAGGCCATGCTCGAGCTGCTCAACATTCCTATAGCTGTTCCCTCCAGGTTTCTAAAAACTTACTTACCCTCAACCCCGGACCCCCACACACTTACCCCAAACAAACTCACCACACAAAAATGATATCCCCGTCCTTCCAAGCCCAGCTCCGCGCCGCCATCCCAGACGGGCCCGACGCCCCCACGCTCCCCTCCCCGGCCTCCCTCGCCGCCGCGTCGGCCTCCCTGCCCCGACGACCACCATCTCACGGTACGGGTGGCTGTACGGGTGCCAGTGCAAAGGGAGAAGGGAACGACGATGACGGCGGAACCTACCTCGCCCCCCTCGGCACCGAAGCAACTCTAACCCACATCCTGACGGACATCGTACCCGCCCTCAACGGCCAGGCGCGCAGCGGACGGTACTACGGCTTTGTCACCGGCGGGACCTTACCCGCCGCCGAGGCGGCTGACACTATTGTCTCGGCGCTGGATCAGAATGTGCAGGTGCATTTGCCGGGGCAGACTGTCGCTACGGAGGTGGAGAGCGTTGCGTTGGGGATGCTTGCTGATGTCTTGGGGCTCGAGGACGGAAGCGGCAGCGAGAGTGAAGAGGTGTGGAAGGGGAAGACGTTCACCACCGGCGCGACAGCAAGTAACATCCTCGGCCTGGCGTGCGGAAGGGAATACGTCATTGCGAAAAGGGGCGGGAATGTAGGGCAACAGGGGCTTCTGGGCGCGTGTGTGAGTGCTCGAGTGAAGGGGGTGAGGGTGTTGACGAGTATGGGGCATAGTTCGCTTTCCAAGGCGGCCAGCGTGGTGGGCATCGGGAGGACTAATGTTGTAGAGTTGCCGCTGAGTGAGGATGAGCCGTGGCGGTTGGATTTGGAGGCTGTGGAGAGGGTATTGCGGGAGGGAGAAGAGGACGGAGTTGTGAGTATTATTGCGGTGAGCGCGGGGGAGGTGAATACGGGGAGGTTTGCGACGGGGGGGAGGGGGGAGATGGAGAGGTTAAGAGGGTTGGCTGATCGGTTTGGGGCATGGATTCATGTTGATGGTGGTGAGTATTCTTTTTCCTTTGTCTTCGTGTGGGTTTGGGGTAAGAAGTGAGTGATCCTTTGCTGACGGTTGCTGGTATGACAGCGTTTGGCATCTTTGCGAGGGCCCTCGAGGCGAAGCCCGAGTTTGCAAAGATTCGACAGATGGCTTCGGGCCTGGAACTCGCGGACAGCATCACCGTGGACGGACATAAGCTTCTGAACGTGGTACGTTCGCATCAAACCCTTCTATCAACCCCCTCCCTTCCCTCTTTCTTTCCTGCTGTATGAAGTAGACTGATGTTTGGTGAAACAGCCCTACGACTGCGGCATGTTCTTCTGCCGCTCCCTCCCAACTCAAACAGCCGTCTTCACAAACCCAAACGCAGCCTACCTCTCCTCGGCCGGCGCCTCCACCATCCCCTCACCCTTGAACATCGGCCTCGAGAACTCGCGCCGCTTCCGCGCGTTACCGGCCTACGCCGTCCTACGGTCCGAAGGGCGGAGCGGGTTGGCGGCGATCCTGGGCCGCATGGTTCTCCTCGCGCGGAAATTAGCGGTGTGGATCAGAGCTTCGGAGGCGTATGAGTTGCTTCCCGAAGGGGAATGGGATATCGAGGAGGCGACGCACATGGTTGTGTTGTTCCGCGCGAGGGACGAGGGGTTGAATGAGGAGCTTGTTGGGAGGATCAATGGCACGAGGGAGGTGTATGTTAGCGGAACCAGTTGGAAGGAGAAAAAGGCTGTGAGGGTTGCTGTTGGGAGTTGGAGGGTTGATGTTGAGAGGGATTTCGAGGTCGTGACGAGGGTTTTGGGGGATATTGCTAAGGCGTGGGCGAGGGGTTGAAGGTCATCTCTTTTGCTATTAAGGTGTGGTAATATTAAGGTCAGTATTCATGCCAGTGTACAACCAATGGGCCATCCCCCTTATCGATGGATAGGAGATGGTACTTGGGTAACTTCTCATGCTCATTGTCATAATCAGAAGTGAAAGGGGCAGGTGGTCGAGGGGTTAAGGAGGCGCCAGTGGAATCCGTTCTTCCGAGATCACTCTTCAACCTTCGCTTCGCTTTTTGGTTCGAGTCCCTACAATGACCTCTTTTTTGCCCTCTACCCTATTGATCATTCAACATGTTAACAATTGCTTTAGTTTGGATAATTAGCGCTTAGATGCGACGCACGTACTGACCAGGCCCCTTATGCGGGAATGCTAAAATTGAAATACTAGTGTCATCAGAAAGACAGGTCGAAGTGTCCTGTTGAGAACAGTGAATGGATGCGGACGCCGATGTCAACCATACATTATTAGACGGCAGGTTGTCCGGAGTTACGCGTACCATGAACCCGTCTCAACGCAGAAAATTCACATCAAGTATAGGACGGTAGTTTCAGGCACATCACGACTTCCAGAAGAGGGACGGGCCAGAGGGAGGATATTTGAATGGGGCTGCAATGCATTCACTCATATGGCGTATGCAAACTTCTTCGAGATGATGTGCAGAACGTGTCAATGGTATTACTAGTCTACAGGTCGAGTATCGTCTCGATTGGAATACCCCAGTACCAGCTCGCCACGCCCATGGCGCCAATGCTCATGGTGAACGCCATCAGGAAGTTCACGTCATTGTTATCCAGCAAGTCCCACCCAGTCTCCACGACCCGCGAGGGCTTGGCGTCGCCCATGGTAGGCTTGCGCTGCTTGTCCTCGGGGTCATACCTCTTCTTCGCATCACTCGTCTCGAGAGCGTTGACATCCACGTTCTCCGCCATCTTCTCCATGGCGCCTTTACCCTCCCCATGAAGCGCCGCGGCCTTGACGGTGGCGCGCTTCTGGTTCTTGTCTGCGTGGTCGCTCGGGTCGCTGGCGATGAGGACCTTGGCGCCGCCCTCGCCCTCGACGATCTTGCCGGTCCGCACATCACGCACGGAGCGCTGGAAAACGGCGCCCAGCACGCTGTCGAGCAGACTACCCAGGACACCCCAGAGGGTCATGCCCAGCATGAAGGTCGACCGCTGCTGCGTCGTCCACGCGCCGAGGCCGCCGCCGACTTTGCCGGCGCTGTCGTTGCCGCAGAGGGGGAGAAAGACCATGGAGGCTGTGACGATGATCATGGAGCCGAGAGCGCCGGCGGCGATGCCGAGGGGTGTCACGCCTCCGTTTGTGCCGCGCGGGACCTTGCGTAAGGTGAGGGACGTAATAAGGCGGGGCTCGCCCTTGGCTAGGATTCCCAGCTCGGAGCTGAAGGTGTCGGCCGCGACGGCGGCGTAGTTTGCGATGATGCCGATCACGAGGAGGTCGCCGCCCCAGGAGAAGCAGAGTGTGCCCGAGGGATTCGGTATCGAGGTGTCGAGGATCGCGTCCTTGCGCTTGTTGAGTTGGTAGGCGTGCAGGAGGGAGAGGCACGAGGCCATGAGCGAATTGGCGAAGACTGTTGGAGGGGTAAAGTTAGCTATGCTGCGCTGATCACTCTGGGGAAGCTTCTAGTGGACCGACCTTGGACGTGGGTGCGTGCTCCTTCACCCCCTGATGTGCCTCGTGAGGCCATCGTCATTTGTGATTTGACATCGTGTTTGACCTAGGTTAGACTTAGCATTTGGCATGTCGCTGAGGCAAGCGAGCTACCCGTACCTTGGTGGCCCTCGTTCCAGCGAGGAAAAAAGTGCAGAGCAGCGCGAATGGCAGATTCCACGGGTGGTAGGCGTGGGCGATAGCTGTGATGACGGCGGCGATAATGCCTGCGGGGGTCAGGGACTGATGCGACCAAGCTCGGTAGACGAGGGCGAGGGTCGCCGGGAAGGCGTAAATCGCTTTCATGGTGGTCGATTGTTCGGGCTATGTCGTGAAGTTGTGAGGTCTGCGAGTTTTGGGCAAACTCGGAGTGTGATGTTGCAGAAACGGTTCACCAGAATGCCCTATCCCGTATGGTGGTGGGATGCGCAGGTGTTCGGGTGAAGGTGAACTCCACGTGACGTCAGCGCTGGGAGCTCGGGGGTTGGAGGAGGAAGCTCTGAACCCCTGTCTGAATTTCTTGAGGGCTGCCCGCTGTAAGGCAGTTAGCTGCCAAATTACATCACCCTCCATACCTAGTCGCCATGTGCTTAATGCTTATACAGCTCTTTAGTTGCACAGATTGTACAACGAGTATCTGCTCTCGGAGTTCGTCAACCAGAATGCTGAAAACCTCATCTCAGGTGTGATGGAAGTTCTTAGCACGTGCCAATACGGTAGCTGAGCGTCGAAGAATTCTTGATCACTGCCAGAGCATGTGATGCAAGTTGGATAGTCACGATCTTTCTCGTTTTCGAGATTTTGCGATGGTGGTGCTTTCCATGCCTGTAAGAAGGATCTCACCAAGCAAAGAGCGCACCGGTTCAAAGGTTGCAGAATAAAGAGAGCTTACTGCGCTTGATAGATCGTAAGGTGGTTGAAGTTTCCATAGGAAGGGCAACATTGTATAAACACTCCAATTGCTGCCATGCACCACTTTATCACCATCAACGGTTGTATCTCATACACTCTGAGACAGTCTTAGATGAAAGGCCAGTTGAGCTCCATTTTCGCTGTAAGCGGTCAATGTGGGTGGGAAAGGCAACTGCAACGAGCTGTTACAGGTTGATGCGACCAAATCCGTAGTGACAAGATCGAAACCACAATATACATCTGAACAGCGATCAGCAGCGAACCATCCGTAATTACCGTTTCCTATTCTGACGAGAAGGCTGAAGCCACAACGTGAAGACCTCTGGCTTCATTCGCCGATAACCCCGTGAAGGAATGATGGAGACTGAGTCCCCTCTATCGGTACAAGGAAACCTGGTGCCAGGGGGTGCGCCATGCCCATTGCCCCGACCAATCAGCACGAGCTTCGATGCGATTAGTAGCTCCCCGGAATCGGCTCCTTTTCTGCTTAGCGAGAATCAACGAGCTTCATGATTCATGAAGAGCGAGACACGAGCAGTCATTTCACTTCACTTCACTTCGCGACTCAACTTCTTCGGGGGATGGATTGTGTATAAGGCCCAACACGTCGCGATAGAGGGAGAGATTGAACACCTCTCATTTACAACAAGGCCTCTTCTTGGCCCCGACGACCGCAACAGACGTGAACGCCGAGTGCTCTTGGGGTTCAATTAGAGGTGATGGCGGCCGCGCGCGATCTCACAACGACCACGAGTCCCCCTCACTCAGACATCATGGCAGCAGACGTGAGGGAAGAGCCCAAGGCAGCCGTGAAGAACTACAAGGGCTTCGTCGCCGGAGTATTCTCAGGAATCGCCAAGCTCACAGGTTAGTCATTCCGCATTCTGAAACTGAAATCAGGGACCATACTGAAACTGCGAAGTCGGCCACCCCTTCGACACAATCAAAGTCCGCCTCCAAACAACAGACGCCTCGCGCTTCAGCGGCCCGCTCCAATGCGTAGGCCAAACGCTACGGAACGAAGGTATCCCGGGCCTCTACAAGGGGGCGACCCCTCCGCTGGTGGGCTGGATGTTCATGGACTCGGTCATGCTGGGCTCGCTGACCGTCTACCGCCGCCTCGTCGCTGAGCGCCTCTTCCGTGTCGGCACCGTCGACAACCTCCCCTCGTACGGCCACGGTATCGCGGGCATCATGGCGGGCAGCACCGTCAGCTTCATCGCCGCACCCGTCGAGCACGTAAAAGCGCGCCTGCAGATCCAGTACGCCGCCAACAAAGCCGAGCGGCTGTACAGCGGGCCGGTCGACTGCCTGCGCAAGATTTACGCGAACCACGGCGTCCGGGGCGTCTACCACGGCCTCAGCGCGACGTTGCTGTTTCGGGGCTTCTTTTTCTGCTGGTGGGGCAGCTACGATCTTTTTTCAAAGTACTTTAAGAAGAACACGAACCTCAGCGCGCCGGCGGTGAATTTCTGGGCCGGCGGGCTGAGCGCGCAGATTTTCTGGTTGACGAGCTACCCTTCGGACGTGATCAAGCAGCGCATCATGACGGATCCCCTTGGTGGCGGGCTCAACGACGGTACGCCAAAGTTTAGGAGGTGGAAGGACGCTGCGACGGCGGTGTATAAGGAGACGGGGTGGAAGGGTTACTGGCGCGGGTTCTTGCCGTGTTTCTTGAGGGCGTTTCCGGCTAATGCCATGGCGTTGGTTGCATTCGAGGGTGTTATGCGGGCTCTGCCGGAGTAGATGGGCATTCACATTGCCGCAAGGTATAGACAAGACATTTGTACGAGGGGCACCGATAACCATAGATAGACAGCAGGATACCCAGGATCGGAATCAGAATCGCACCTCAAAGCATACCATCACATTCATTCACGAATGGAGGACCATATGTGGCAGATCAACAAGCACACGAAGGTGCTAACTTTTGGTATTCCCTTTTAACCTTGCCAAAATTCCAGTGCCATGCCGACCCAAGTAACCTTAACCTGACTAGTGCATAGAAACCGTTTACTCGTCATCCTCATCAGCCTCGTCGTTAACGACGTTGAAGAACTTGAGCTCGTAAACACCCTTGGAGGTGGAGACGACACGGAGCCAGTCACGGAGCTGCTGCTTCTTGAGGAACTTCTTGGTGCTGCGAGGACAGTCGTGTCAGTGATTTGTCTGTCGTGGGAGGCAATTCATCGCTGGCGCGACGAAGGTGGGGGAAAACCTACAGGTACTTGAGGTAGCGGCCGGAGAGCTCGTTGTGGGCAATGATCTCAATCTTGCCCTCACCCTGCTGGGAGATCTGAACCTGGTCGCCGAGGTTGCCGACGCGACCCTCAACCTTGATCTTGTCCTGGAGGAACTTCTCGAAGGCAGCGACGTCGAAGATCTTGTCGGAGGCGGGCTGGGAAGCGTTGATGATGAACTTCTTGGTAACCTTCTGGTTCTTGCCCTTGCCGGTGCGCTTGATCGCCTAGAATTTGGGGAACATGACGTTAGCCTACTGTTTCACGCCGCCGCCCAACTTCTCTCCTCTCATTTTCAGAGAGGAAAGAAGATGGGCTGGGCCAACAGCAAAGCGGTGTTGTCATGTACGTACTGCTTGAGGAGCCATTTTGGACGGATGTGGTGGACGCAAAGAAGTTTGATCCTGCGTTTGGTTGAAGTGGTTGTGGTGAGGGGAGGGGGAAGAATTGACAGATTGAGATGGAGCTTGACACTTCACGAAACTTTTTCCCAGCCCAAAAGTGGATTTCAGTTGTGGGTGTAGGAAAAAGTGGCAGCGAAATTCTAGGGCAACGGATCATTACCTTATCCGAAAGGTGAGAGGGGCGGGGCCGCCTGGGAAGTGATCATTCACCGAGCTTACCGAGACCCTCTGGTGGTCTGAGCTCTACGCTCCAATCATAAACAAGTCGCATCCAATTCTTTCCCCCGGCACACTCGTTTGCCATAATTGGCAGGCAAGCAATGCACGAAGGGCGCGTCTGCGCTGTCGCGAATGATTCACTTTCGACATCGCAGATGTTCATGTCAAGGGTCCGCCTTCATCGTACCTTACAGGTGCTGGACTTCAATGGCTTGAGTTTTCTGCCTGGAGTATCCTGCCTAGAACCCCCACACGCGAAAGAAGCCCATGCATGTGTGAATCACGAGAGCAATTCAGGATATAGCGTCTTCTTACTCTCATTGGTGGACGCGGATGCGACTTCGTCGCGGTCGCGATTATGGACAAGTGTCGACGAGCCAGTGAGGTCTACTAAAGGGGGTTCTGGCACCTAGGCATGGGCTTTTCGTGAATGAATTGTTCTACTTCTAGTCTTCTATTACCTCGTGAAGCATGCGGGACTAAGAGATGGATCGTTCGTTTCAAGCAATCCACGACGAGGCGTGTTCTGAGCAATTGATCACCGAGAAGCGCAATGATACATCCGATCCACCTTTCTCCTGCTTCCCTAATCGTCGTGTTACACTGCGCAGCGCAATATGGAATCTTGACCGTTTCGTTGAGATAATCAATCCCAGCAAGATGCTCACCTAAAGATAGTGAATACTGTATACGAAGGGATTGCGCAAACGCCAACGCACTCTAGGCGACGCATTGGCTCGCTACGACAAGATTTTCTTCACGGAGAAAGGCTAAGTCTTACCCAAGAAGGAAAACACCACGTCATATCAAGTCGATGGACCTGAAGTACCTCATTTCCATCTTTGATTCACGTTTCGCAGACTGCCATATTGCTAAGCTATGGAATCTTGTGACTAATTTTAGGTCGTACAACCTACCAGAATAACAACACAATTACTGGCAGGGTCACATCATGAAGCGTTAGTTACAGGCGAACCACATGTACTACTGTCCAGATCATTCGTCCTCTCAAGACTTTTTCGCCACTTGGGGGTCCAAATCCAATGGCGGGACTAGGTGAAGTAGTCCCCAGATCAGTCTGCCCAGGTAAGGGTCGAGTGCCGTCAACGCCCTTACTCAAGTTGGCTCGCCGAGGGGCATAACAAGGCGTACAGGCACTACTGTCTCGTTATGCCAAGATGCGCAATGGGTAATTACGAGACGGCCGGGCCCAGTCCGGTTCCTGCCGGGTGATCGATAGAGATTCATAAGTGGTTCCTGGTTGACGATGCCCGGAGGAAGACGGATTTGATGGGGGTCCCCCTGACTGTTCGTGCGACTGGAGCGTGCGATCCCCGAGAATGGTCCTGAGGCACACATGCATAGGGCTGAACGATTGGATGAGACTACGTACCGAAACGGACCCCACCTCGATCTCTCAACTCCCCTCCTTCATCAAAGTACCTGCTTCTGGGTCGCCATGCCACTAGAGGTCCTTCTAGATTGCAAGTGTCTGCTCAAGTACTTTTAATTGACATTCAATGCTACGAGCTAGGCACCCAGGTCTCGTGGCTGAGTCTTGCGCAGGGTAGCCTGTTCTCCCAGGCAGGGGTATGCGCCAATGGCACCCATGAATGGCGCGTCGTCCATTTCGACTCGAATCTCTCTCGACTCCAGGTTGCCAGGTTCCCAATCATCTGCAATGCTACGGCACTGCTACGCTAGCTGCCGTTACATTACTCTACAACCCTGATTTACTCACAGCGCTGACCTTGTTTCATCCCCCCCGATGAGGCTCGGTGAGGTGGAGGTATTTCGCCGTGAAGACCGAGTTGGAACCTCCCATTCGATAACGGAAAGTCCAAGGCAGAAATTCTCACACCACACCAACTTGTAAGGCGCATTGCAATCATCCATTGAGGCACCATATCGAATATGCAGGCGGACTCAGTCATCTGCCTCGGGTGTCGAGTTCAACCTGGAGACCGTCGTTTCCTGCTCACATGCTTGGCTTCCAGCCCCCCACACAACTCACGTCAGGGAACGATGATATTTCTGCAAGCTACTGGACTATTTTCGCCACCTTGGACTGCCATGTTCTGACGCAAAGTACTCGTTTCTTGTACGCGAACCAAAATCATCACCATCTGTTCCATTGAGTCTAGGTCTCGTCTCTCTCTCTCTCTCTCTATAGTTAACGTGAGCTCGTACTTCCATGGAACCAACGAAAACAACAAGATTCAGGAACGGAAATTGCTATTCGTGTCAAGATCTGGAGCAAGATACGAGGTGTATCTGATACCCGCAGCCGTGCCGCAGCGGGATGAAATTAGCCGTCCTGCAACCCGGTCATCTGGGACATCGGCCCACGGCACTGCGCCTTTTCCCCACGCAACCAGGTACATGCGGTGCATGCTAATCGGCACTCTCAATGTCCCGTTGACAGTATTGGCACTAGGTACACCCTGTGAAGGCCGCCTTTGGAAAGTTGGTTTCCGTCTCCGTAGGGGCCGATTGCTTTCCGCTAGTCTAGCTATCCTCTATCCGCTGCCTTCACCGGTCTGGAAGTCAGCAGGCGTCACCCCCGATTACGATGTCGATGTAAAGTTGAATGCAAACTCGGACCCCACCACCCTTTCAAAGTCACTTCAAGGCGTCTCTCTGTTCTCTTGGCTTACAACGTCGAGAAGAGAGAATCGTCTCCTGTCCACGTCAACAGCCGAACCCGATCGAATTCGAGCTTGACCTCTAGTTGCTAGAGCTTCGGCTTTGGACGCGGGATTGGCCACGGATATGCTCGTATGGGCCTTTTCTTGTTGTTGCCTTGTATCGAAACAGCCAGTCGTATCCCAATAACGTCTTTGAGTCACTTCGCACATTCTCTAGTGGTGTGGTCTGTACATCGGCACTCTCCGTCGTCTACTATGGCAGATTCGTTACGAGAATGAACATATTAGAGGCAAGTTCGATTCTGAAATTTAGTAGTGGTGAAAGATAAATTACAAAATCTGAACGGATCCAAATCCTGAAGACTAACTCTCATCAGTCTCTATCTGCTTCATCCACTACATACCACAGTCATGATGAGAATAGCTATCGTGGGCGGTGGAGGCTTCGCAGCTATCCTAGCCCATCACATCACGCAGACAGCGAACCCCGTAATCATTCTGTCAAGAGAAGTAAGTAAAATGAGTACCAAATGAGTAGACCAGGTCACTAAGACATGGTCGCAGTCAAAACCAGAGCTGGAGGAACGCTACGACTGTCAAGTTGCAGTAGTAGACTACGACGATGCCGAAAGCCTCCGTTTCGCCCTCAAGGGCATCGATCTAGTCATCTCGACGATACGCGGCCAAGAACAAATAAACGTTATCCACGCCGCGCGCCACGCCCGCGTCCGCCTCTTTGTCCCCGCAGAGTTTGAAGGCTCGATATCCCACCGACCATCATCCGGCGAAGACCCCCTCGACTACGGCTCCTCCGAAGCCATCGAGCTGCTGAAACACTGCGCCAGTTCGAAGTCTCGCAAGATGGAGTACACGGTCTTCTCTTGCGGCGTCCTCTACGAGCGCTTTGCGCCGGGCGGGCTGGCGGAGTACGGCATGGGAGCCCGGGCTACGATTGGGAGCCAGGGGGTCTACCTCGTCGATGTCGGGAACGCGTCCGCGGATATTGTTGAGACGAACGGCTCTGGGCGGCCTGTGCAGGTCTGCTTGACCTCCGTTGCCGACGTGGCCCGATTCGTTGCTGCAGCCATCGAGCTGGGACCGGGCACGTGGCCCCGGGAGTTCAAGATGAGAGGGGATAGGATGTCGGTTCGAGACATATTTGCAAAGTGCAGCAATGTCAGAGGAGGTGAATGATCTGCCGTCCCTCTGCTCGAAAGGAATGCTGAGACTGTACGGGCTAACAAAATGATAGTGGCGTTCACCTTGCGAACTCGAAAGTACTCCAAGCTCCAGAGTGAGCTTACACACTACGAGCAACGTCAGAATTGGAACCAGTGGTGGAATATACAGCGTCTGATAGCTACGGCGGATGGTCGATATGACTTTCGTCAGGCCAACCTGAATGAAGCCGTCGACTTTCAACCCGTCAGTTTCAGGTCGTGGCTCGAATCCAACTGGGGACCTGGTACATAGATTGCAACTTTCTCTTCACTTTGTATTGTGCCAAGGGCATTTACCCATTTAATCACAGTGATGGGCCACTTTCTCATTGTATCTTTAGCACACCATCTCTATTCTGATCTGACTAAATTGGGCATTCTCATATATGTCTCTAAGGAAGTGGTTTGGATACCAGACCTGAATTTAAGCAATGGGCTAGGTTATCACGGGTCACTGTAGGATTACTGAGTCCTTGCCTTTTACAACAGTATCGTTACCCGATTCCCCTATAGCTTCATTTGAATCCAACATCGCAAAGAATGACCAGCTTATCCTCGACGGACGCACATAGAACTGCCATGCCAAATCTCTGGTATTCGAGAACGCAGCGGTGGCGACCCTGCTGAAAGGAGGCCTCATCGGTCCAGTGAGATGACAACATGCTGTGAATCTAGAGGGTACCATCGTGGGAAAACGCCATGCATCCTTCGTTCCAAAAGGGGGTTCAACCCTCGACTCGAAAGCTCCAAGGCACAGCCTGGTTGAACCTGTTACCTGGCCATCGCATCTGCACTATCCGACCGAGGTAGATGCTCCAGCCTCTTGAGAGATTAGGATCGGTTCGGCAGATGCACCCGGTCCCAGGTGCCAGGTAGCTATGTCTACCAACCTCGCCCTATAAGGTAGCCTGCGTCTTATTGTTTCCAAGATCCCGGAATTGCTAACGCTGATGCTGATGCTGACACCCGACCTACTCTTTTCGCCAGCAGCTCCGGCGGCGCGGTAATAGCCTTTGATTGGCCACCGCCCATCCTTCCCGTCACACTGCATATCGTTCCTAGTATGCCGGCGAGAACCAGACGAGATCCCGGTTCCGGTACGGTTATCCAGAAGCGGTAGCTTAGGCCGCGATGCCGGAGGGAGGGAGTGGTGATGATGAACTGCACGCGCGTAAATGTATGGAATTTTGATATGCCTCGGGACCTTTTGCAAACCCCAGCCTCATGACGACGGTCTACAACTATCGTCTAGTCAACCCTTAAAACTGCCGACATCACTCCGAGCTGGCCGGGAGACACGAAATGGGTCGCAATAAAGATATTGAAGGCTGTCATGGGCCGCCAAAAGCGCCCCCTCCTTTTCTTTGGAGGGTTGTAGTCTAACCGCACACTCGGTTCTAAGCCCCTTTACCCCCCTCTCCTATCTCTCTCAACCCCAGAGCCGCGTTGAATGCCCTTTAATGATGTATCCGCGGTGTTGAATGCAAGCCCTTTCCGTTTGAGACCCCCAACCAATAATCATGGCGCTCTGTTGAAAATTCCATTGTTTCCCATATACCTGTTTCGCCCGTGCCGAAAACCCGGTTTTACATTTGCCTCGTTCGCTTTCAGACGCCCTCACACTCCGCGGCCAACCCCCACACGCCGCGCCGTCTCGTTTGTTGAAAGCAAGGATGTAACTTCGCCCAGAGTCACATCACAATCCACTGGGCGGCACATTCCTACAGAAAATTTGCCTCTTTCCCGCCCCTTCACTTTCTCTCTCACGCCTTGTCCGCCTCGTCACCAAACTCATCCACGACCCAAAGGCAGAACTTCTCCCACTCCGTCTCCCAGAGCTTAAGCCTCTGCGCCTTGACACCGGACCCCAGGCTCGCCTGCTTGATCCCCTCGGTCCACTCCGCGGGCGTCTCGTCCTCAAAGGCGGACCACCGCACGCTGTTCTCCGCCATGGAGCCCAGCCCGAGCAGGCCGACGTTCTCCCACCCTTGCAGCGCCTGCCAGTAGTCGTGCGACATGCCCGCCGTGTCCTGGCCCAGCATGGCCGGGTCGTCGTTGCACAGCGCGCACGAGACGCCGCGCGAGAGCAGCGCGGGCAGGGGGTGCGACATGATGGAGCCGCAGAGGCGGAGGACCTCGTTGGAGATGGGGCATGACTCGACGAGGATGCGTTTTTCCTTGATCATGTCGATGAGCAATGGGTGCTTGTAGAGGGAGAAGCCGTGGCCGATGCGCCGCGTGCCGAGGAGGATGGCGTCGTAGAGGTTCTGGTCCGTCTCGTCGCCGTCGCCGAGGGTCTCGCCGGCGTGGAAGAAGAAGGGGAGATTTACCCCTTCCTGGGCGCACTGCTTGCGGAACCAGAAAAGTTCCGGGAGGAGGTCGCGGAGGGGCCGGCCGAGGTCTTCTTGGCCGACGAGGTCGTAGCCGGCGACGAGGTGGGGCCAGGAGATCTTGGTGGTGATGCAGTTGTCCATGCTCTCGATGATGTCACGGACGGGGAGGTGGCGGATGGTGGTCCAGATGGTGCGGAAGCCCCAGAAGGCGGCGTGGGCCGGGTCAGACTTGAAGAGAGCGAGCTCTTCTTCCATTACTTGGAACATGTGGTTGTAGTCCTTTTCCGGTACTTCTTGCTGGTCGCGGCAGTAGTTGAGCGGCCAAGTGAATCTAATCGGAGTCAGTACGCCACCTTTTGTCGTGTGACAAGGGCGATTTCCTTACCTCAGCTCGATCCAGTAGATGCCGTCTGCCAATAGAGACGCCATTAATCTCTTGAGGAAAGCACGGAAGATTGGCTCGTAGTGAATAATGGTGTTGGTGACGCCAAAGCACGAGATGAACTTGCGCCAGACAGCATCGATGCCGTGATGCTGCTCATAGGTGTCCGTCAAGGTGATTGTGCAGCGCGTCTTGAGCCACTTGAGGAACCCCGTCCTTCCACCATCGGGATACTCATCCGCCGCCGTGGTCAACAGCCGAAACTCGCCCGGCACATATCCCTCCTCCCAGACGGGCTTTGAACTCGTTTCAGCCTTTCTGTACCGAAAGTGTACGCCAGCATTCGACCTCGCCGATTCGTTCGACAGGGGCTCGTCCGCAGCAAAGTGAATACCAGGCGTCTTAAGCAGGACATCAAACAAAAAGTCAAAGTCCACCATGGCGTCCAAGTGGGAGTGCAAGAGCGAGCCCTTTGGCATCTTCTGCACGATGCGCCACAGCCGGGTCGTCTCGAGGCGCTGCTTGGCGAGCGTAAACATCATGCCCGGGAAGGGAGCCAGCCCTTCGGTAGTGGCGAGGTCCTCCTCCGTTTGGGCGTTCCATATCGTCCGCTTCTCCTCGTCACGAATGCGGGAGACGATGTCTGCTGCGCGCCGAGCGATGGGAGACGCGGCGGCTTTGAAGGAGGCGTCGGCGCGGCTCTTGTGCTCCTGGGCAATGAGGGCGTCACGGCCTTTGATATACTGTGTGATGAACGGATCAGAGACGGATGGGATGTCTTGGCGGAGCTCCTCCCAATCTTCGTTTGAGAGAGACATGTTGAGCGGATTATGCGGGGTTCTTTGTGAGCACTGAGAAAAGAGGGTGAGAGAGGGAAGTAGTGACGACGAAGTTGAGTAACGGCGGGGTTGAGCTTTATGAGATATCGTTCAAGTTTCCGGAGATGTGGATTCGGTGTCGACGAGATAGGCACCCGTTGTGTTCCCGGTCGGTCGGCTCCGGTGTGGTGATGGAGGGTTTCTTGATTCGCCGGCGGTTTACGATGGAAATAGGCGGTTAGCGATGACTGCGGGGTCGCGGGGTTATAGTGGTGGCTAGTGCACGATGATAAGTACAGTTCTTGACGGGCCCCACTCCGGATTCAGTGGCGCCGAAGCCGGGCATGTGCCCGGAACACCGACCGGTGGTTCAAGGGTTTACACTTCTCCTCTCAACGGAATGGGGTTGCTAGGCGCTGAAAACGAAACTTCAATTTTTTCTCTAGGTGCCGTCCGTCGCGTATTCTTGTAGCTGCAGACATCTTCCAATACCTGCCAGATGGTAAGAGGTGCTTTCCACTGCTAATCTCCGCAATATCTTTCCCGCCAACATATATGGGATTTTGAAGTTTCTTCAAGATGTATAATCGTTGAAGCTTTACATGATCTGAAGATTTAGACTGGTATTCGGCTGGGACAGATGCCATGCACGAGTCCGCCATGGCCGCTAGAAGCTCCCTCCACAACGTTGATGTTAGAATGAGTTTTGTTATGTAAAAGATAGCACTCATCGTCCTGCCTTAGCTTAAGAATATTCTCCCAAGAATATGAATACTTTCTGCCTTACGCGCTCTGATAGCTCTCATCCTATAATTTATAGATAACAGAACCAGAGTGGCGGTCAACAAGCACCGTCCGTTGTAGTCGATGGCCGAGCGGTACGATTCTATCGTATGTTGGCTCACGGTCCTACATAATGCCATGGATAGCTTGTTTTTTTTTGGCAACGAGTCACGCATTCGAATCGACTTTTGATCCCTCTTTTTTTAAAGTCCTCCTTGAACGAACCACACTTCGTCGTCCTATATCATCTAGAAGATTATGAAACCAAAAGATCGGCTAGCTTTCTGCATTTTTATGGCGCTGCCCCTAGCGACTCTTCGCGTTGGCTGGCATATGCATTTCTCACAACCAATAGTATTAACGAGAGAGGGCCAGAGAGAGCATTTTGCCGTCCCAGGTGGTGTTTGAGGGCCACAGGTCATACAAGCTGCCTTAGTTGCACCGTTGCACTGTATATCTATACGCTTAAAGTGGGCCAAAGGGTCCTACAGAACCTCCGTGATTATAGGTAATTCTTCTTGGCCGTTCCTTTACCCTGTAGCTCTGAGATCAAGTGAGATTCGCCAAAAGCAATCGGCGCTTGTGGATTGCGATAGTTGGTTTTGAACAGAAAACATATTTGTCGATTATGCGAGGGTATCTAGTCGTTAAACCCCCTTTCCTTTTCGTAGTTGTCGCCTCATTCTAGGCAGGCCTCTCGAACGCTAGGCTTCATCTTAAGAGCTAGTTTCCTTCACAGTTCTCGTTGTGCTCATCCGGCTATCATGTCCGCCAGCGCCTTACCATCTTCCATCCCTCCATTCATCCTCCCTCGGCCGAGCAAAGACTCTCCTCTTCAGCCACAGGAACCATTCCTTCCGCTCCCCGCTGCTACTTCTTCTAGGAAGAATCTCATGAGGACAGGCCTTAACCAGGCCTTAACCATACTTGCGACTCCCGCCCTTAGTCGCCTGCAACCCCCCCTTGCCCTTCTTCTCGTCCTTCTTCGCCTTCTTCCCCTTGCCAATGAGCTCTAGGTGGCCCGCCCTCTCGCCCAGCAGCTTCTCCGTCCGCGACGTCAGCCCCGCGGCCATCTTCTTCTGCATCTTGTCGGCCGAGGAGTGCGCCTTCGCCTTTTGGGGCTTGGCTACGCGCGAGGCGTTCTTGAGTTGCTTGTTTTTAGGCTTGCCCGTCGGCGCGGGGCGCGAGGCGGATTTGACGCCGCCTTGTGCCATCTTGTCTCTCTCTCTCTCTACGCGCGCGCGTGTGTGTGTGTGTTTGTATGTGTGGTGTTTGATTTCCGGTCGGGGACGTTGCTCTCGGAAGGTGTGGTTTCGAAGGTCTCTTCTCGTTCGCGGTGGAGGAGACGATTGAGGGAACGCGGAGACTGTGTGAATTGTTTCTTCCGACTGTTGTCTTTCGTCGAGGAGGATTTCGTGGGTAGCGCGGTGGTATCGCGTTGGAGTTTCCGGCCTCGAATTTTTCAACTCGGGCGACGGTGAAGAAGGGAGGGAGAAAGCAGTGGTTGCGAAGGCGACGGGGAAACGAAAGGAACCTCGAACCCAAAGAAAATTTCAGTGGATCCCCAAGCGCTTATCGCTCACCGACCACACCGAGAGGACCCCGCACCCCGGTCACCTTACCTCTGCAGACCCTGAAAAGGTACGTACCGCTTGCTTTACTCTTGTTCCATGTCTTGAAAGCTGAGCATGTACATTTCCATGCCTCACAAAACACATGTCACGGGAAAGTTGATACCAAAGTACACAATTACATCATTTTACAATCTAGTTCTAGTGATAAAACAGATAACACTTTATAGCCCTGATACAAGTACAGTCCAGATATTAATACAGAAGACATTACAATCTTGGGTTTATGCAGACACGAAAGAAAATACAAAAGAAAGGAAAACTACAGCCATGTATCGTACAGCCATCATCCGCGCAATATAATACACCCAACCAACCAGCCATCATATTCTTCAGTCTCAACCCTCACACACCAGGCAGAGAGTTCAAAGCTCATTCATCACGGGCAGTCTTACACCTTTACGCCCGAGTCCCGGCCTCAGCCTTCTTAATCCGCTGCCAAAGCTGGCCGAGGAACGCGGCGTCCACGGCAGGACACTTCTCGTCGAGCCCGGGCACCAGGTTCTCCAATAGGGCCGCCGTCTTGCTGTTGTCGAGCGAGAACATGACGTAGCCCGTCGCGAGGTACTCCTTCAGGACGGTGTTGCGCACGGCCGCTTCGTCGGCGTTGCCCTTGTCCATGGACGTGAGCCACTCGTCGAGCGAGACGACCTTGCCGCGCTTGCCGTCGGGCCGCAGCGTCGCGATAATCTCGGGCAGGTCGGCGAGCTTGAGGGGCGAGTGGTTGCCAATGTGGTAGATGTGCGGCTTGTTGTAGTTGGTAGCGCTGGAGGCGAGAGCCTCCTTTTCGGAGGTGAGCGCAAGGAAGCCCTGGGCGAGGTAGTCCACGGGCACGACGTCGACGGCGAAGCCGGGCTGCTTGGGCTGGCCGATCTGCGGGACCTTGGCGGACTCGATCATGCTGAGAATCATGCGGAGGGTGAACTCGTCGGCCGGGTCGAGGTTGCCGTTGTGGGAGGAGCCCGTGACGGCGGAGGCGCGGGTGATTGTGACGGGGAATCCGCGGGAGGCGGCGTGGCAGAGGAGGTTCTCGGCGACCCAGCGGGACTTGAAGTAGCCGAATTCGTCCTCGGTCGGCGGCTGGAAGTGGGACATGTCCTCCTCAGCCGTGACGTACTCGGCGCGGGTGCGCTTGGACTGGGACCAGGACTGCAGGTGCGCGACGGACCAGGTGCTGAGGTAGTGGATCTCGGAGAGGTGGTCGCCCGTGCCGGCGAGGCGGATGATGTCGAAGATGGGGCCGACGTTGACGGGCTTGAGGAAGGAGTAGGTCTTGAGGAGGGAGACGTGGCCACCCAGGTGGTAGATTGCCTCGACGGTCTGGCCCAGGATGCGGAAGGCTGACTTGCTGAGGCCGAAGCTGGGCTGAGAGAGGGTGCCGGGGACGATTTTGATGCGGCCGAGAACGTCCTTCTCGGTCAGGACGACGCCCTTCTTGCTATGGTCGTTGATGAGGCCGTACTTGGCCAGCTCGCTCACGACGACGGACGTCTCGATACGCTCCATCGATCCGAGAAGGTAGACGGTGGCATTCGGCTTGCTGGTCAAGATCTCGGCGAGCAGGTGCAATCCAATGAAGGATTCGCTACCGGTGATCAGAAACTTAGAGAGTTCATCACGGTCGACGCGCGGGGCGCCGTACCGCGGGATGTAGCGGCCGTCGTTAGGAAGCTTGGTCTCGACGTTCCAGCTGATGACGTTCTCAAACCCCGCCTTGCCGCCGGAACCATCGCCCTTGTTGCGGCGGATGAAGGCGCAGACAGCAGCTGCGGTGGGCTCCTTGATCATCTGTGGCAGAGTGGGTGCGATCTTGTATTGCTTCTTGATCTTGGCCTGGAGACGGACGAGGAGGATCGAGTGACCACCTCGCTGGAAAAAGTTGTCGTTCACATCAGAGTACTTATCTCCCAGGATACCGCGGAAGAGACCCATGACAGAGGTTTCGAGGTCACCGGCACTGGAAGAAGCGCCGTTGGCTGCGCCAGTAGGCTTGGAAGTAGTAGCAGTTGTCGGGTAGAGAAGCTCAAGGTCTCTGCTGAGGAGATTGCGGCGGTCAACCTTTCCGCCAATGGTCACAGGCAGCTTGGCCAGGAAGTTGTAAGCGTTGGGGAGCATGTAATCTGTGACAAGTGTTAAGAATCTTTTCATTGTGGAAAGGCATCAGATCACATACCGTTGAGATGGGGCTTGATCTTGCGGTGAATGGTCGAGACGAATGTCTGCTTCTCGGCGGCACTGAGTTCCTTCTTGGGCACCACGTAGGCAATCAGTTGAAGGTCTTCCTGACCGGCCTCGACAGTACGAGCAATGACGGCAATATCAACGAGCTGCGACTGCGACTCCTGGAAAATACGCTGCTCGACCTCGCCGAGATCAACGCGGAAGCCACGGAGCTTGATCTGCTTATCACCGGCAATGCGGCCATGGAACTCGAGCTGCTTGTCAGAAGTGCGGAAGCAGCCACGGTCGCCCGTCTTGAACATTCTAGTCCAGCCTCGCTTGCGATCCTCGACGCTGGCAAAAGGGTTCTCAACAAAGGACTTGGCGTTGATTTCGGGGCGGTTGAGGTAGCCGGCACCGACCTGGGAGCCACCTACGACCAGCTCACCAACCATGCCAGCGGGAAGAGGGTTTCCCTTGGTATCGAGGATGTAGTGGCGGCAGTTGTCCATGGGAAAGCCGATGGGTAGGCTGACTTCGCCATCAGCGGGGTACTCAATCTTGGCGATGGAAGTTTGAACAATGAGCTCAGATGGGGACCAGGTGTTGCTACAAAGCGATTAGCCTTTTGGACTCCAGATACTTGCAGCGGATATCGCTCTACTTACTAAAGAGTCGCAGGGGTCTTCAGGTCGTAGAAGCTGCGGGCTACGCGAACGGGCAATCTCTCTCCCGCAAAGTAGGCGACGCGATAGTTGTTGCACTTCTTGAGTGCCTCAGTGTTGAGATCGAGAAGGAGTGCAAACTGGGTCGGGGTGAAGTAGGTGGTCGTGACACCCTCGGTCGCCATGAAAGAAGCAAGACCATGAGGGTCTTTGCGAGTCTCCCATGCAGCAATCAGGCAAGTCGCGCCAGCCGTCAGAGCGGAGTAGATCTGCACAATTGAGAGGTCAAAAGACATGGATGATTGGTGGAGGAACCTATCCTTGGAAGTGAAGCAGTAGTCCTTGTTCAGAGTCGCAAGCATCTGGTGGGTGTTCTCCTCGGTCAGGAGAACTCCCTTGGGTGTACCGGTACTTCCCTGCAGAATTCATCAGTCTTTTGTACCGCTCAATGAAGGGCCGCAACTTACAGAGGTGTAGATCATGTAAAAAGGATCCTGAGACTGGCGAGGACTGAACTGGGTCGAAGTATTGGCAGCACCGACGGCTTCAGTAATCCTGATCACCTTGGGTGCAACGACAGCCTTGGAAGTAAGGTCACTGGCAAGGGACTCGGCTCCAGGACCAACGAGCAGAATCCGGCTACCGGCGTCCGAGATCATGAAGGAGAGACGATCTTGGGCAAAGTCGGTGTCGAGAGCGACGTAGCAGCTCCTGGTCATTAGAGATGCAATCTGTCCGACAATGGCATCGACGCCGGGGAAAGCGAGCAAGGCGATGCGGTCACCAGGCTTGACGCCTGCTTGAAGAAGCTCCGAGGCCACGCTGGTCGCGTCTTGAATCAGTTGCTTGTAGGTGATGCTGTAGCCATCAGACGTCTTGATCGCGGGGTTCTGGGGGTGCTCGAGTGCCATTTGGGAGATTTTGTCCTTTATTGAAGAAAAAAAGTATTAGCTAAAATACTTTGTAGGTTTCATAGGACACGCTTATTTCCGTACCAACACACTCTGTCCCTCCCACTGGTTCTCGCGGGTCTCAGTGTTCCAAAACTCGTTTGCCAACGTCTTGAGCTCAATCTCGCCACACATGCCGACCTCCTCGATGGGCTGGCGGTGGTCCTTGATGCAGCCAGACAGGAAGGTGAGGAAGTTGTCAAGGAAGCGCTCCATGTCTGCCTCGCTGTAGAGTGCGGTGGAGTACTCGATGCGCAGGTCCAAAGCGTGGTCAGACGTCTCAAGTGCTTCAAGCTGTATGTCTGCCGCAGTGGGAATGTCGTCCGTCACCATGCTGTTGATCTGGAAGTCGGAGGTGGAGTATGTAGGAGTCGGGCCGTGGATCTAGTCATTGTTAGTAACAGGCATTAGACTTGATGCTCTAGGGTTCAACTGACCTGGTAGTTGACGGCGATCTGGCCGACGGGCATGTGGCTGGGAGTCTTCTTCGCGCCGAGGATATCGACCACCGTGTCGAAAGGAACACCAGAGTGGGCCAAGCTCTCAAGAGCTCGCTGCTTGCAGTTGGCAAAGAGCTGGTCAAAGGTCGCTCCCTCGCAGTCATCCTCAACTCGGATGGGCACCAGGTTGACAAAGAATCCGTTGATGTCTTCAGCATCCGTGTGGGGCCTGTTGCCATCGACCATGAGCAGGACAAGGTCCTTCTCTTGAGTGTAGCGGAAGAGGAACGCCCTGAATGCTGCGAGAATGAAGTGGAAGGGTGTTCCATTGGCCTGTGCCGCGAGACGCTTCATGCGAGCAAACAACTTGGAGTTCAAGTTGGTCTTGAGGGCCAGACGGCGCGGGTCAGATCGCTGAGGACGTTCGCACTTGGCAAAGGGCAGCAGCTTGCTAGCCTGAGGGATGCCAGCAAGGCGCTCCTTCCACCAGTCGAGGTCAGGTCGCATGAGATCAGAGGCGAGACGGGCGTTGTGCCAGATGGAGAAGTCGACGTAGGAGAACTCGGGCGAGGGAACGGTCGAAAGGTCTTTGCCTTGAACAGTAGCATCATAGAGAGAAACGAACTGGCTCATCATGCCCTTCATGCTACCTCTGTCGATAGAGATGTGGTGGATCATGCAGATGAAGGCCCAATCATCCTCGGAAAGCTTGGCCAGCGAGAAGCTGGAAACCTCGCCCTGTTTGCTTGTTAGTAAGAGACGTAAGGAATGGGGTATTGCTAGACTTACCTCTTCGACGTTCATCTCGATCTTG